TGCCATGGCGCTGCGGGGCGTCTTGGTCCTGGAGCTGGCGGGCCTGGCCCCCGGCCCTTTCTGCGGCATGGTCCTGGCGGACTTCGGGGCGCAGGTGGTGCGTGTGGACCGGCCGGGCTCCGTCGGGGACGTGAGCCGCCTGTCGCGGGGCAAGCGCTCGCTGGTCGTGGACCTGAAGAGGCCGGGCGGAGTGGCCGTGGTGCGGCGCCTGTGCGCCCGGGTGGACGTGGTGCTGGAGCCCTTCCGCCACGGTGAGTCTGGCCCCTCCGAGGCCTCCCACCCCGGAGGGAGCGGACCGTGTGAGGCGCCGTCGCCGCACCTGGGCCCCGTGGCCCCTGGACCCTTGCCGGTCCCTGCCAGGCCCCTGTGGCAGCACATCGCTTGGTCAGGCCCTGCTCAGGCTACCGCGGGCGGGACTCGAAATTCAGTAAACCCAGGAGCTTTTTTCACAGCTCATCTTTAAGTTGATCATTTTGTATGGCGCACCAAGGAAGCTTTAAATATCCAAATGGCCCTCGTCAGGTAAAAGGTTCCCTGTCCCTGTCAGACTTTTCTGTTGCATTTGGTGCCCTGGATCATTCGCCCCTGGAGATCTTCCATACTTGGCCTCGGAGATGCTGCCCTAGTTGTCCTTACACCTCTCTCCAGCCTCTTCCCAAGTTTCTGTTTTTCCTAATCACCTATGTATATAGGCGCTCTTAATTATTTGAGGGTCATGAACCCCATGAGAACCTCATGAGAGTCACAGGTTCTCTACCCCAGAAACGGCATAAAGGCACATAGTCATTTGGCTACATTTCTGGGGTGGGGGTGGGGGTTGGTGTACCCTCCAAAGCTGTGGGCTGATCCCAGCTAACTCTCCCTGCCTGGAATGCTGGGCTTCCCAAGTTCCAGATTCAGCTCAGTTTCATTTACACTGCCTCCTGGAGCCACCTAATCCATTCCCGTTATTTCCACATTTCATAGGCCCAGATCTCCTAACTGCACAGCCCTCTTTCAGAGTCCTAGACTGTGGGAATACACAGGTCCTGTATGTCTCTATCCAACCATCCCCCAGGCACTGTGCCTCCACAGATCCCAAACCCAGCCCCTCATCTTCCCTCCTCAAATGGCATCTCCTTCATCTGTGTTATTTATCTCAGTGAATGTAACCAATATCCACCCAGTTGCCTTAATCAGAAACCTGTAATTCGTCCATGACTCCAAATATTCCTTCCTCTCCACCCATTTTCTTTTCTGTTTGTTTCTTTTCCTTCCCTGCCTCCCTCCCTCTCTCTCTCGCTCTCGCTCACTCTCAGAAAGGGGTCAGTCCCTAAAACTAAAATGTTCGTGAATAGGGTTTTGAGGAATTTAAAATTACTAGGAGGCTCCTAGACACTTAGTGACTCCCTAGTGATTTGAAAACCTTGCTGGCTGCTGGCAGTAACTCCACTTATTTTTCACAAATTCAGCCATTCTCCCTCCTTTCTGCGACTCAGGATTCTTTCTCTCCATACCAGCTGCAGCCTACTTGGCACTGTTGTAGCAACCTTTTGAAGATGTTTAGGTCTAGCACCACTAGGATCCATTCTCAGACAGCTGTCTGTGATCTTGCTCAAGTACAAATCCAAAGCTTTGCCTGGTGTATAACAGGAAGTCAGTAAATGTTTAGTGAATGAATTGAGTGTCTGTGAGGCGCCAGGCATATTTAGATGTGTTAACGCATTTACCCTCACAGCCAGGTTTGAAGATAATAATTAAGATTATAATTCCCCATTTGAAGATGAAGGAAGCTCAAACTGGTTAAATAATTTGTCCAGGGCCTTGTCATTAGGAGGAAAATAGAACCGTGAATAGAGAAGTAGCTGCCAGGTGAGGTGTTTATCTAGAAGGAGGACCATATTTCTATGTAATTTGTTATAGCCTTAGGAATTCCACAACAGTGAATGCAATTTTTATTACTTTTAATTCCAGGAGACTTTTGGTGCCAGTTACCTGAATTTTGTGCAATAAATATTGTACTTGCTGATAACTTAAGAGCTTGCATGCTGTTGTAGCTAATCTTCCTTTCCATGGACATTTACTGAGCCTTTTTGTGAAGGTACTGATGCTAGGAGCTTTAGAGGCCTAGCATAGAATCAGGCAGGGATCCTACCAGGAGACTTGTGAGCTGATAGGGAAGATAGAATATATACACACCTAAGTACATCATGAGGTCGAAGGTGGCAGGCACTGATGCAGGCATTGAAAAAGAAAAGATCCTAAAAGGAATAGTAGTTTTCAAAAGTGAGTTTTTGGCCAAATAAAGACCCAGGGTAACTGTTCCAAGAGAACAAACCATTTCTAATAAATTACTAAGGAGAGGATTTGAGAGACTATAAAAGGACTGACTGAGGGGATAAAATGCCCACTCTAGGGGTGGAAGAGGCTTGCATAGGCCTGAAGGGAAATGGGGAAGTGCTGGAAGGAAGTAGCATTCTGGGGCAGAAGCATCACATTCTAGCAGGTTCTTAACTACTGGAAACATGTTATAAACCCACAACATATATTTTTAGTATTACTTGCAAGAGTGCTGCTTTATGTTTGCCACAGAAAATGAGTATACCATTCCTTAGTTCATGCTCTCTTCAAAACAAGTTGTTGCTTTTCTTTTAAGGTGTCATGGAAAAACTCCAACTCACCCCAGAGATTCTGCAGAAGGAGAATCCAAGGCTTATCTATGCCAGGTTGAGTGGCTTTGGCCAGTCAGGAAGATTCTCCACGGCAGCAGGCCATGACATCAACTATTTGGCTCTGTCAGGTATGTTGAGAAAATCATTTCTCTACACTTTTAATTTTGTTTCCAGTCAAGATTCACAGTTACACTAATTAATGAAAAAGAATCTTTAAAGGTGAAAATTTAAATCAATAAGGAGAGTATGGTTGTTTAAAAAGAGGTGGCTTTTCTTGGAACAGTCATTCTCAACCCTTTCCCCTGTCTTAACACATTTGATAGATGATATACTGTCATTGGTAACATACATACTACATTTGTGGACTCAATTCTAAGACAAGCCCCTGTGAGGAAGTCAGGGACTTGGGGTAATAGGGATGGTTGCTCTATAGTTTGAAAATGCTGATATAGTTAGATTCTGATAGTCCTCTTCCCCTACCTTCATTGAGAATCGTTGCCTGAGTCACCCTTTTAGATTTCTATGGATACTAGACAACTGTTGTTCTCAGGTCGTAATACCACTTCGTTAGGATTTTTGCCTGTGAGAACATGTCTAAGAATGGCCTGACTCTAGAATTTAAGAACTGTGTGTTGTTGGGTAAATTAAGTCTCAGAATTTCTGTGAGTACACATTCAAAGGTTGAGGAAAGACTGAGTATAGAATTGGTCTTTCACATCTATTTAAAAATTTAATCTCTTCCTGTGTTTGATTATTGCATCTTTTTCAAATAAGAAAGTGGGAGTGCATTATACTGTTGTTTAGTCATAAACTAAATTAATAACAATCTTTTTTTCTCCTGGGATCATTTTTCTCATTTTACTCACTAAGTAAAAACTTAGAAATAAAATTCTGAAAATGTTAGGTGGAATAAAGTTTTAGAGCAGCAAAAAACAAAACAAGGAACCTTGCTGGAGGGAAAGCCTGTTTATAAAAAGGCCTAATATGTTTAGAATTGGAAAAGCATTATGTACTAGTTTTCACTATGTCAGCAATTAGAAAGATTGGTTATTCCTCTCAGATGTTTATGTATTTATTTAAAAGACACATTAAATTCACAGTTAGTGTTCTCTGATTTTTTATTTTTTTTAGGTGTCCTGTCAAAAATTGGCAGAAGTGGTGAGAACCCATATGCTCCACTGAATCTCCTGGCTGACTTTGGTGGTGGTGGCCTCATGTGCGCCCTGGGCATCGTGATGGCTCTTTTTGAACGCACACGCTCTGGCAAAGGTCAGGTCGTCGATGCAAGCATGGTAAGTGTTAACTGGGGGAAATGATAACCCTGCCAGGTGTTCTTAAGTACGATGTATGGCTGCCTCAAATCCTTTTCTGAACAAGAGAAGAGATCAGTGAGATTTGAAGTTTGAATTCAATTTACCAAGGATATCTTTTTTTTTTTTTAAGCCTCCTATCCTTCATGTGAGTCAGAATGTCATATCTTGATCATGTGTTTGTGGAGTCCATTTTCTAAAATTTTCATGACTTCCCTGATTCTTGTGTTTTATTAATTTCCCTCAAGCTATTTCTTGTGATTAGAATATAGTTTTCAAGAAATCCTCACTCAAAACTGGGCTCAGGAAGTCTTTCTTAGCAGAGAAGATGCTTAAGGAAGCTAATGTAAAATGGACCAGTCTAGGCCTTCCTGCTGTGTTTTGTAAGGGAGACTTCTACATCATAATGCTTCAGTTTTTTACTGTCATATGTTGATTATGTGCCTTCTGCGGGTGTTAAGCTAGGCACTTTCCCTGTGTGATTTCTTCTAATCCAATTTCATTCAGAATGCACTGTTATTTGAGAGAGGAGGAAGCTGAAGCATAGAAAGTTGCCCAAGGTCTCACAGCTAGTTGGTAAGAGCCCAATCCAGTGCCACTGCATGTTTGCATCTGGACAGATCTTTGGAGGTAGGATGGGGGATGGACTTGAGAGAGATAAGACTGGAGGCAGAGAGGTGGTTATTGGTTATTGCCAAGAGATAAGAGCAAGTACTAAAGTAGTGGTAGAATGGGTCTGTGTTTAAGGGATAGTCGAGATGTAAAGTAGCTGGAGTTTGGTGGTGCATTGTCAGTGAGGGAAGAAGGAGGAATCGTAGATGGTTCCCTTATTTCTGGCTTGGATGACCTGTGGATGGTGTCACTGGCACCCCGGGGGAGGATTACTGAAGGAAGAGGCAGCATGGCACAGTGGTCAAGAGGGCAGACTCTGGTAGCTGACTTTCTCCATCCTAGCTCTGCCTTTTTCTAGCTCTGTGATCTTGGATAAGTTAGTTAACCTCTCTGTACCTCAATTCTTTATAAAACAGAGATAATAATGGTATCTGCCACATAGCATGGCTAGAAAATGAGATGAGTTCAGTGTTCAGTGAGTAAAGAGCGCCTGGCACTCTGTAAGAATTTGTTGTTGTTTTTGTCGTTAGAAGAAGAAAGGGAATTCAGTTTTGGTCATTTCACATTTGAAGTGCCTTTGAGATATCTAGGTGGAGTACTCGAAGTTAGGGACTAGAAACAGGTTTCGGCCTCTTGGGAGCCCTGTGAGAGTAGGTCTGCTAGGGAAGGGGGCAAACAACAGCATCTGAGGAGTGAGCAGGCAGAAGAGAAGCGAGTGCTAAGGAGAGCTGAGTGGAGGGAGAGCTGTCATGGAAACAAAGAGCAAAAGCTCCAAGAAAAAGGAATGGTCAGGGGTCGTAAGTTGGTGGTGACCTCAAGAATTTAAAACTGAGCAGTCCTATAAATTGGATTTATCATCGGTGACCTTTTGAAAGCTGTTTCCTACCAGAATCTGTCATCTCCAGAGCCTTTGCTGGTACTTCCTTCCCCTCAGGCTAATCACTCACAACTCTGTACTGCTTCTGTGCCTCGTAATACTGCCCTCAGGGTACATCTCACATAGTCCTTTATGTCCATTGATCTTCTCAGCTCCTAGCCCAGTCCCAGCATGCACCAGTAGCAGCAGCAGTGCCAACTTCACTTTCTACAAGGCAAACTCAAGGCTGGTGCTTTACATATGTCCATCCTCCTTTGATCCACACAGCTCCCTGAAGGAGTTGTGCTCACTCTCACTTGGCATTTGAAGACTTTCAGACTTGGAGAGGATAACTGAAAAGAAGCTAGAGGGTCAGAAGCTCTGCACTCAGGCAGTTTAACAGGAAAGCCCTTGCTTTCAGTTTCTGCCCTCTACTGCCCTCTGCCGGTCCCTGTGATCCAAAAGGACTGAACTAAGGACAAACATGGGCCTTGGGAGTTTTAAGGAGAATTTAAGGATAAGTACTTATTTAGTAATAATTCAGATAATTTGCTAATGACATATAATTTCTTATTTATAGTCAGATATCAATAAAAGATAATTGCGACTTTCATCAGACTGTGTATAATCAGAATTTCATGATTATTAGGAAGGTGGTGAGGTTTTAGTGTGTGAGAATGTTGTAAGCTTTATTCAGAGTTTACGTTTGCATTAGGGTGTAATGGGTGTTGGCTAATTATTCAAGGCCAAATGGGTCAGTAAAGCATCATATGCACTTCTTCTCCCATCCCTGGGAATTCTTATGATACAAATAGTTGTAGCAGCTGAATGTCTTATTATTTTAGGCCAGTCATTTTCAAATGGTTTTAGCAGTAGAATCCTTGACCCAGACAGCCTGTGATGAGCTGGAGTTGTCTCTTCCTAGTACTATTTCCCTGGAAACTGTAGAGTTAGATAGCTGTTTTGCTGTTTACTCCTGATCCAGGGAAGTGCACCTGACATGGGGTGCTATGTATTGGCACGCAGGCCTTTCATCTACATAATGAGAACAATGTAAAAGTTTGCAAAATTGAGGCTTCAGTTTCCTTGTGTCACAGGGCGCTTGTGTGTGGCCACATACACTGCGTGGGGGTGAGGGGAGCCATCGCCTGGGGAGCCTGGTGATCAGATGAGGATTGTAGCTGCTGTGTTTCTTGTCCTGTATCCTCCTGTGGCACTAAGTAAAGTGGGATTAGATTAGAGTATGTTTGTGTCCTGAGTGGACCACACTGGACCCATAACTACAGCATCCTTTCCAACAGACTCATGAGTGCATCTAGCATATGAGAGATTATACAGGGGAGGGCAAAAGTAGGTTTACAGTACTGAGTACTCAAAACACAGTTTATTCTTGTATTATTATTTATTAATTACTGTATTATTTTCCATATGAACAACTGTAAACCTACTTTTTCCCACAATATATGTAAATATATATATAACTGTGTATATCATTATGTATGTGTGTATATGTATATGCATATGTATAAACATGGATACTCTCTAAGATCTGTGTAACACAGATTAAAAAAATTACACCCCCGTGGGCTCCTTATACAAACGCCAGTATTTGGTGATATCAAATATCAGAGCCATAAATTCAGGTAGATGTACATGAGATTTAACGTTAAAAGGGAAAACTGTATACAAAGTGATAATTTACATTTGTTTCACAGCTAGTAACTGAGAAATTCCATGCTCACAGTTGGAATGGGGCCCTTGGTTGGTACCCTCAGAAATGAGGATACTTTGATCATTTTCTTCCTGGGCAGCTGGTATCACTAGGAATATAGAGCCAAAAGGACAGGGAAGTAGTCATCCCTAAATAGCCCAGTGCATGAAGCCTTGTGATAGTCACAACTGAGCATGTGAATCCATTTCTTCTACTTCAGGACTCAATGGGAAGCTGGCATTCCTAAGTTAGTTTGTCTGGACTCAAAACCAATATATGTGCCACCCGTATTGTTATGTTTACAGGCACACCATGGAGATATTTTGGGTTTGGTTCCAGACCACTGCAATAAAGTGAATATTATAATTGAGTCATACAGATTTTTTGGTTTCCCAGTGCATATAAAAGTTATGTTTACACTATACTGTATCTATTAAGTGTGCATTATATCTAAAAAACAGTGTACATACCTTAACTTTTTAATTAAAAAATACTTTATTGCTAAAAATTGTAACCATATCTGAGCTTGTTGGAAAAATGGTAACAGTAGATTTGCTCAACTCAGGGTTGCCACAGACATTCAATTTATACAAACTGCGTTATCTGCAAAGTGCAATAAAGTGAGATATGCCTGTATTTTGAAACTTTCTAGTGATCATTAAAGTTAAGATATAGTAACCAGTCAGAGAAAGACAAATATCACATGATCTCACTTATATGTGGAATGTAGTGAACAAAATAAACTGACAAACAAAATAGATCCAGAGACTTGGAAGCATGGAACAGACTGAGGACTCTCAGAGGGAAGGAGGAGGGGGGAGGGAAGAGACCAAGGAACTTATATGCATATATGCATACCATGGACCCAGACAGTAGTGCGGTGAAAGCCTGGGGATGGGGCGGGAGTGGAGAGGAGAGGGTCAATGGAGGGGGTGGGAAGGGGACATCTGTAATACTTTCAACAATAAAACTTTTTAAAAAGTTAAGATATAGTAAATACTTAAGTATAGTTTTCTTGGTCTTGGAGTCAAACTAGAATAACTAAATTTTACTGTAATGTGATTTGCCTTTAGAATGTGATATGCTTCATATATCTGTGTATTTATAGATATTGAGATCAGAAGATAGGGCTTTTAAAAGCCTTTTTTTTTTCAGCTTTTGATCCTGACAGTTTTAACATATACAAAAGTAGAGAGACTATACTGTAAATGAACTTCCATGTTCACCTAACTTCAAAATTATAAATACTTGCCAGTCTTATTTAAAAGGGAGAACAAAAGTAGTACCTTCTGGTTTGCTGACCAGTATCTTCTGAACTGAATAGAAACCTACTCTACCACAAACCTGCTCTAACTCAAAATACCAAAGAAGTTGTACAGTTAGATATAATCTTCTTATGCTCTCAGATAAACATGTCTCCGCAACTATTTAACAAAACCTGAGTAGAAAGAAATCATGGTTTACAGTTTAATGATCGAGATTGTAATGTATTCTGCTTTTTTAAAGGTGGAAGGAACAGCATATCTAAGTACTTTTCTGTGGAAAACTGCAAATCTAGGACTGTGGGAACAACGTCGAGGAGAGAACCTATTAGATGGTGGAGCACCTTTCTACACAACTTACCAGACGGCCGACGGGGAGTTCATGGCTGTTGGAGCATTGGAACCCCAGTTCTATAAGCTGCTGATCAAAGGTAAGGAGCTTTCATATCCTTCTCCCACCCGCTTTCCTATGGATGTTCTTTAGCCTCTATTTTGGGGCCGTTTGAAATTCATGATGTCTTTTATTACATATCCACTTTATAATTAACCTAATTATAGCCATCATTATATAGTGAGCACTCCCCCATCTTTTAAATTGACAGGTAATTTTATAATTCTATAATATAGCTGAGGATTTAAAAAAATAATAATCTCTTCTGTGGGAGTTCAGTGTTTTTATTATATTTCATGCTCAGTAGCTTTGTATATTTATCTTGTCCTCGTGTGCTCTTATCTTACTGTTCCATAGAAATGGCCTGCCAGGTAAGTAATAGAGAACTTTTAAAAGTTGTTTCAAAATTTCAAAATATTATTAAAAGAAAACCAGAAAATAACAAGTGTTGGTGGGTGTAGAAAATGCCATTTGTATTACTGGTAGGAATATAAAATTGTGCCGCCGCTGTGGAAAACAGTATGATGGTTTCCTCAAAAAATTAAACATAGAATTACTGTAAGATTCAGCAATTCCACTAATAAGTAAATACACAAAAGCATTGAAAGCAAGGACTCGATCAGATATTTGTACATCCATGTTTGTTAGTATTATTTACAATAACTAAAAGGTGTAAGCAACCCAGGTGTCTTGTCAACAGATGAATGGATAAACAAAATGTGGTATGTACATACAAGGAAATATTATTCAGCCTTAAAAAGAAAAAGAATCCTGACATATGCTACAACATGGATGTACCTTGAAGACACTACTCTAAGTGAAATAAACCAGTCACAAAAGGACAAATATTGTATGATTCCACTTATATGAGGTACCTAGAGTAGTCAAATTAATAGATACAGAAAGTAGAATGGTGGTTGCCATGAGGGGGAGGAGGGGTGGGGAGTTAGTGTTTAGTGGGTACAGACTTTCAGTTTGGGAGGGTGAAAAGCTCTGGAGATGGATGGAGGTGATTTATATTGTTCCAGAACAATATAAATGTTCTCAATGCCACAGCACTGAACACCTAAAAATAGCTAAAAGGCTAAATTTATGTATGTATATTTAACATAATTAAAGATCATGAAAAAATTTTAAAAATAATACATTTTTAGGAAAAATATTAACCATCACAGAATTTATAAAGTAAGATGTAAAACTTATTTATTGTCTTTCTTCTTGGGGTAAGTTTGGGATGTGGCCTTCTAGTATTTTTTTTGTATACATACAAACACAACTATTTTATTTTTTTACAATTTATAATTTATATATAATATATGTAATTATATAAAGTTTTAATTAATAGTAACTTCCTCTTATTCAACAATATAACAAAGATATCATTTCTTGTCAGTATAAAAGATCTTCACCCTCACTCTATTTTTATAGCAGCCATATGCTATTCTATTGTATACCTGAACTAACATTTATTAACTATTTCTTTATTCAAGTTCATTTACATATTCTTCTGGTTTTTTATTAAACAAATAATGTTTATTACTTATTACTAAACATTAATCTTTGCACATATACCATTGTATACTTGCAACATGAATTTTTGACTGCTTAATATGTGCTTAGTATTATGCTATAGAGTAGTAAAGTTTATGATGGGTACTTAAAACAATAAGTATTTTGTGTAATTGTGAATATATGTGTAAGGTAGTTTTTTTGAAATCAAAACATACCTTCCCAAGTTTTAAATGGCATCTGAGTCCCCAATCCAGGCCCTGAACATCTATTTGACTTATAATACCAGAAATTTTATATTGTTTCTACTATAAAAACTAGCCACAGTCTATATGTGTGCTCTTATGGTCGACTGGATTTAGAGTTTTATATAGGACTGCTGAGAAACTAGGAAACAGCCCACCCTAAACCACTGGTGGTTAATCCTGTAGCTTCAATCAGGGTCACAGGCAGGATGGGGAAGGAAGCACTAAGAAAGGGTGATAGGACAGTGGAAGAGCTGGGGTACCAGAGTTAGGGGTAGAACCTGGGGTCTTTCCGGTATATAAACTATGACCTGTGAATCTCAAGTATAATGTTTGTTAGAGACCATATTGGCTCCAGTTTTATTTAGTGTTGTGATTCTAATCACATTTTGATTTTTTAAAATGTTTTAAAAACATGCAGGTATTTTCAACAGTAACAATCAGTTATATCACTACTTTTGGGGCAATCAGGAAAGAGAAAACAAAGTGAAAGACTTCCCTGGAAACTTTTCTTTGTAGATTACAGTAACGCACCTGAAACTGGATTCACGTCTTTGCTGGTATTTAATTAGGACAAGTGGCTACAGAGAAAAATTTACTTATATATCTTACAGGTGTCTTTTCATAACTGTCCAGAACTATCTGAGTTCTCCTTATTTCTTTACATCCCTCAAAACCCTAAAAAGAGCCCTGGCCGGTGTGGCTCAGTTGGTTGAGTGTCTTCCTGTGCACCGGGAGGTCACCGGTTCAGTTCCCAGCCAGGGCACATGCCTGGATTGTGGGCTCATTCCCCAGTAGGGGACGTGCAGGAGGCAGCCAATCGATGTTTCTCTCTCATTAGTATTTCTCTCTCTCCCCCTCTCCCTTCCTCTCTCATTAAAATCAGTAAAACATATTAAAAAAACAACTAAAAAGATCCTGTTTTTTCATGCCTTCTTCCCTCTATGGGGACTGCATCTTCAGAGCAGCTTACAGTTAGTTGTTTTTCAACATGGTAGGAAAGGAAAAAATGATAAAAATAATTACTTTATTAACTTGGCTAAATTTACACAAAATATTATGCATAAGAAGAAGGGACTTTTATTATTAGTTCGCTTTTAAACTTCCACAGTTAAAGACCCTCTTTCCTGAGGGAATAAGTGACATTTACATCAAACCCCAGTCAGGTGGCCCTTTTGGGTGTAATTTGATCAGCACTGGAGTCCCGGTGTTCTGCAGGCGTGGGTGCTGTAGTCAGTAAAGGAAGCACAGAGCGGGTCATGAGCCAGGGGAGTATGCATGCTGTGTAGATGGCCCTCCAAGGCCCTTCATGCTTGAGAGCAAAATCTGCGTGCCCCACTGGTGACAGCATGGCTGATAACCTTCTGTCCTGTTTTCTGTAAGAACAATTTGCAATGGGTCTTTCATTACTTTACAAGTTTTTTCTTCCCAGTTCACAGCAGTGTTTTTAAGGGGGTAATGAAGCAGATATCACAGCCCTCCTAGAGCTCTTTCACTAAATACAGAGAAATTAATATTATTTATAAAATTACAATGTTGAATTTAACCATTTATTGTTAGGCTTCTTCCTTGAAAACTGAAGTAGACAGGTATAAATTGTTTAAATTTTATCTTTTGTAGGGTGTGGGAGCATTGTATACAATATAAGGTTATTTTAATTTAATATGACAGATAATAACATCATGAGGAAATTTCTTCCTGAAAACCTACTCAGAGGGAAAACCTAGATTTCTGGAAACTAGACCATTAAAAGTAGACTACTTTAGATGAGGTGTAAATAATAAAATCCTGGCATGGAAAGTCTGTTTTGAATTCAGCTACCCCTACTGCCTCTGCCCTCTCCAGACGGGCTCCAGCTACAAGCTGAGTTTGAATTTCTTCTCTTGACCCATTTGAGAAGCCCTTATAGAACATCCTATTTGGGACAGGAAGCTTAAAACTCATTTTCGTTGATTATAATCATTCCACCTAAAGCATAATAATTTAAGAAATTGTGTTTTTCCTCTCAGGACTTGGGCTAAAGTCTGATGAACTTCCCAATCAGATGAGCATGACTGATTGGCCAGAGATGAAGAAGAAATTTGCAGATATATTTGCAAAGAAAACAAAGGCAGAGTGGTGTCAGATCTTTGATGGCACAGATGCATGCGTGACTCCGGTTTTGACTTTTGAAGAGGTTGCCCATCACGATCACAACAAGGAACGGGGCTCATTTATCACTGGTGGGGATCAGGGTATGAGTCCCCGCCCGGCACCTCTGCTATCAGGCACCCCAGCTGTCCCTTCTCTCCAAAGGGATCCTTTGATAGGAGAACACACTGTAGAGATACTTAGAGAATTTGGGTTCAGCCAGGAAGAGATTGATCAGCTTTACTCAGCTAAAGTTATTGAAAGTAATAAGCTGGGAGCTAATCTCTAAAGTCCAGGCCCCTCAGCTCAAGTGAATTTAAATATTGCATTTATAGAATAATACATACAAATGTATGCATGGAAACGTGAAAGGACAGTAGTGCAGCGTTCTGGCTATTCTAATCAAGAAACAAGACTGATTACACAGTAATGACCCAATTCTGAAAATGGTTAATATGGCTTTTGATTTAGGAGTGTTTTTAATTTACCTCTACTAAATTGTGACAGTTTTTCTGCCTTCCAGTACTTGATAGATTATATTTGTTGATATTAAAACTTAAGTCTTTATATATACTTTAAATGAATTAATATAATGCTTTTTATTAAATAAAGCTTTTTTGCTCTAAAGTTTACGTGTGAGCTTTTAAGTTTGAGACACTTTCAAGAAAGTCCTATGACTAGCACTTAAATAGCATTTTGTGACTCATTGAAATATTTTTGGGTCTACTGTTTACCAGGATGAATGTCCTTAGATAGAAAAGTCTGATCCTTTTCATTGGATAAGGAAATTATTTATCCAGTCTTGAAACTTCCTTCAGATAACTCACCCCCACCCCTCCATCTAGACCACTCTGCTGAGAGCCTGATTCCTCTGTGTAGCTGCCTGTTAACATCACCCAAATGCGTCTCGTTCTCAGTAAATTGCACTGTCACCCATTGATAGGCCTCCTAGACTCTTCCTCCTCTTACTAGTTTCTGGTTTCCATTTCCATCATGGCTCCCTCTGCCCCAGTAGGCCCCTAGCTTACCCTTCACTTAGGCCACTGCCCAAATGCCACCTTACGGGGAGTCCTTTTCTGACCCATGTCTAAAATAGCAGCCACCTTATCAGCCCTCATTTCCTCCTAACCACTGCACTCTAGAGTGGAAGCTTTATAAAGGATCTTGTAGGTTTTTTTCATTGCTAAAGCCCCAGTTCCTAGGATAGTGCCTGGTCCATCGTGAACACTGTGAATATTTATTAAAAGAATGAAACTCATTAGTGATGTGCAGTCAGTTCCGCCTCCATAGCTCCTGTAACTGTCCTTCTGCCCATCTCTCATTCATTCAGGCCCCTCTTACCTATTCCCTAGACTGCTGCGCAGGTTCCCTACTGACTGACTTCCAGGCCTTTGTTTGTTGCCTTTATGTTTTTGACACCAAACTGGTCTTTTCAGTCCTGTAAAAGTCTTCCGTGGTCCTCTTTTTTCCTATGGGGTAAAATATTGACTCATTTATATAGCATATCAATCCTTTATTTATAATGAGACTTCTGCCTAGCTGTTCAGTCCCATGCCTACTCCTCTGCTCCCCAGCACTTTATATTGGATTGCCTAAAGTGTCTAAATGTGCTGTGGTCTGTCTTACTTCCACTCCTTTCCATATGCTGCAACATTTTCTAGGACTGACAATACCCCTACCCCTTTTGCTCAAGAGTATTGACCTGGCAAACTCCAACTTGGCTACAACACCATCTTCTTGGTGAAACTTCCTTCATTTCTCAGCCCTAGGGTGGTTTTGTACAGTGATTATGAGCCTTGGAGCAGAAGGGCCTTGGGTTCATATCTCACTCTATCATTGTGATGTCCGAGACATGCCTGGAAAACCCTACGGCTAGGTGTTAGCTCCTAGTCTTACGAACTTTTGCTACCTTCCCACTGCACTTTGTACATATCTCCAAGTACAGTAATTGCTTTTAGTGTAGTTTCCATACCTCTTAACTAGGCCTTGAACTCTTCGCACTCTAAAGAATCATCTGGAGATGCTGTTAAAACACAGATTCCTGGACCCTGTCCTTAGAGATTTGAATGCAGTAGGTCTAGGGTGGGACCCAAGTATTTGCATTTTTATCAAACTTGATTATAATGCTTCCAGTTGAAAGGCCACACTTTGAGTAGCACTGTTCTAATGGATATGAACCAAATTATTTATCTTTTTACTGTCGTAAGAGGTGCTAAAAAATCTGTTGAATAGATTGATGAAGAAAACAAATTGGCAAAAATCTGTAAATAAAGAGATGGGCTGGTTTAGAATATTGATTTCTGAGATTAATTAGCTTTATACAACATGTTGAATGAAAAGTTGGTCTTTGTAGGGTGTGAACTTTTAATGAAATGTATATACATAAGGTCACTAGCTTTTGTTAGTGACCCGTAGTTTTCTTCTGAAGAGTGTAAGACCTTGTGCAAAAGATGCTATACTTTCTCTTATTTTTAGTTATCTTTTGGCAAACTGTAGATTTAGAAATATGCAAAGGTGCAGGTAAGGAAATGGAAATTCTAATGAAAGAGGGATTATATTCTTTTTGTTTTTACTTAATTTTTAAAAATTAAGTTTATTGGGTGACACTGGTTAATAATATTATATAAATTCAGGTGTACAAGGTCATAATTTAACATCTGTATTCCCTATTGCTTGCTCCCCACCTGAAGTCTGGTTTCCTTCTGTTACCATATATTTGACCCCATTTACCCACTTCACCCTTCTCTGACCCCCTTCCCTCTGTGGTAACCACCATTCTGTTGTCTGAATTTGAGTTTGTTTTTATTCGTTTTATTAGTTTGTTACCTTTTGTTTTATATACCACGTGAGTGAAATCATACGATTTTTGCTCTTTTCCACCTGACTTATTTCACTTAGCATAATACAGTGGTGCCTCAGTTTTCGAACATCTCCGCTGACGAACATTTCGGCTTACGAACACCGTAAACCCGGGAGGAAATGCTTCGGTTTTCGAACATGCCTCAAAAGTTGAACATGCCACACGGCTTCCGCTGAGTGTGAGATCCTGAGGACTAGCTGTCGGCAGTGGATCCCTCAGTTTTCAAACGTTTCAGAACTCAAACAGTCTTCCGAAATGGATTACATTCGAAAACTGAGGTACCAGTGTGTTCTGAAATCCATCCATGTTGGTGCAAATGACAATATTTCATCTTTTTTATGGCTGAGTAGTATTCTGCTGTATATATGGTCCACACCTTCTTTCTCTAATCATCCACCAGTGGGCACTTAGGTTGTTTCCCTGGCTTGGCTATTATAAATCATGCTGTATTGAACATAGGGGTACACATATCTTTACAAATAAGTGTTTTAATATTTTTGGGTAAATACTAGAAGAAGAATTGCTGGGTCATATGATAGTTCTATTATTAATTTTTGAAAAACCTTCATACTGTTTTCCATAGCAGCTGCACTAATTTACATTCCATAAGAGGAATTAAATACTTGAATACATAAGAATTATATTCTTGAGTGTATAATTCAGTATACATTTATTTACACTCTCTGTTGATCCTACAATGTGGGAAGTGAGGAGATGCTACAAACTGTATGGTAATAAATAAAACAAGTCATGTGGAACAAGGCGACTGGTTGCATCAAGGCTGCTTATCTCTGGGTTCATAGCTTCCCTCTAAGCACATTCCAGGCCTTAGTCATAATTACATCGTAGTGCTTTATAATTTGCAACATACCCTTACTTATATAAAATAAGGATGCCTTGAACTGCAAGTGACTACATCCAAAGCAAGAAAGGAATGTTTAGCTCACATACTTGAAGTCCAGAAATACAGTGAGTTTTTGGTTTGCGCGAATCCAGTCACTTGGCCCCATTTCACTGCACCCTCCTGGCTCTGCCAACTTGCCATCCCCCATGTGTTCACTTTATCCTCAGGCCGGTAGCAAGTTCTGGATCTCACAGCAACATCCAGAAGAAGAGAGGGCCTCAGGAGTCCTCAGCAAACCTTATCTTGTGTTTCTTTGGAGTTAAGTCACAAGCCAGTGTTTGGCAGAGAAGGTAAGATTGTCCTTATATAAAGCCAGCCTGCTCCTGGAGCTCTCTGGACTCAGCTTCCTGGAAGCACATGGGTCTGTGAGGGAGGGGTAGATTCTGGGATCTAATCTAGGTTCCCTCAGAACTGGGAGTGGAGAATGGCTGGATACACAGCCAATGACAATAACATCCATTACACACACTATTTCCATTGCTCTTCAACAATCACATGGGAAGGTAAGGCTGGCTTCTCCACTTTATAGGTGAGAACATAAGGCTCAGATGCTCCTAACCCTCTTAATTCACATCTCCCTTAGTGTCACAGAAATTTTTTCATGGTGCCCCTAGATCAAAAGAAATATCTAAGCATTCCATTTATAATTAGGTCCCAACAACTTAAATATTTATGTCCTAAAAAGGAATTAGCTATTTGAAAAATACATGTAAATAGAAGTCATATTTTAATTTTTATTTCATTCTTAATCACAATTAGTTACTAATGGGTCATATGTACCTGTAGGACACTAGAAAGCCTCACATGTTGTGGACTCAGATTGGACACTGCTACTCTCATTTTCTGTAGTGCAGTTTTCTATGGAAAGTGTGAACTTCCTCAAAGGAGTTCATGTGGTATCTAACAGATGGTGAATTTCATTCAGTGTTATTGTCTTCAAATTTTTAAATATCCTGAGACACACTTGTGAAGTCACTGTAGTACCCTGGGGTGCCTTGGTACACAATTTGGGAAACACCATTTTAAGGGACTTGCCCAGGGAAATACAGCTAGGAAGAGGCAGCACCAGAATTGAAACTTGAATATTCTCACTTTTGACTCCTATTCTTCCTCTTAAACCATGTTTAGAGCCCTTCCTATGAGATCATGTTTCCCTGCCACTCAGACCTTTCATTTGTTCTCAGGGTCCAGCAAGGACAGACCCACTCCAAGTCTTTAAAACAGAGGAAATGTGATATAGAGAATTACACTGGTGACAAGAGAGCTGAGAAGCTGCGAGGACAGCGCGGCCATGAGCAGCACTGGGAGGCCAGGAGCGCTCCTCTGTCTGCAGGGGCCGAGGGAAAGGCAGTGTTACCAGGACCCGGCAGCTGTTCGCTGGCCGGAACTGGACCCCAGCGGAGATGGAGCCACTGCCAGAGACCTCTCGGGAAGGAGAAGGGGAAAGAGGATGGGGCTTCTTCCTCCTCCTGCCCCACGTTTTCGCCAGTGCCTCCACTGGCCAACTCTACCTAATAGCCAGCGAGCAGTGGAACCTGGGAAATGTAGTTTCTCATGATACAGAGCATGGGGGAGGGGCAGGAAATGGATCTGAGCAAATAGCAGTTGACTGGCACTACAAATGTAGTGTATATACTTGATTCAATAATTTCCTTTAGCAAGTATTTATTGAAGACCCACTATAGGTGCCAGGTATCTTGCTAGCTGCTGCAGATACCGTAATGAGCGAAACAGACCTAATCACTACTCATAAGGAGAGCGGAGACTGATTAACATAGGAGAGAGACAATAAACAGAACCACCCAGTTATCCAGTGTGTTGAGTGCAATGAAGGAAACCATCATGGTACCGAGACTAGTGATTTAGAGGAAAGGTGCAGCCTTCTACTGTTTCAGGTCTAGTTAATTGACTCTCCAGGTGTGTGCATAGAAAACTTGTGCTCAGGAAAAACAGAATATATCTAGGAAAAGTTTTAGAAAGATATCAACCTATTAATACTTTGACTTAACACCTGCATCTAGGGCTTTATTGCCTCAAACCTGTGTGTGCAAGATTGTGTGTAATAGAATGTGTGTGTTTTGGAGAGAGAGACAGAGACAGAGAGGGAGAGAGAACAGTGCAAAGGAAGATTCCTTTAGAAAAACATTCTAAGGAGCCAGAGGGCTCAGGCAGCTAATCTCTGGCAGGCCCCACCTCCCTTCTCTCTCATCATAACTTGTGATCTGAGAGGCATGAAAGAATTTGAGCCCCTCCCCCAGCCTAACCATCTCTCTTGGCTGCTCAGCCAGGCTCCAAGTCAAATCCAGCTCACAAACCAGAGGGGCCACGCAGGAGGTGGCGGACTTGCAGGCAGGTTCCTCACCCAGTGGCCATGGGCGGCAACAGTGGACAGCCGGACACTCACACTTACACATCCCTAGCGGAGGATGGCCCCTTTGGCCCTGGGGAGCTGCCCAAGAGGCCCACAGGCAGGCTCATCATGCACAGCATGGCCATGTTCGGCCGGGAATTCTGCTATGCAGTGGAGGCAGCCTACGTGACCCCCGTCCTGCTCAGCGTGGGCCTGCCCAAGAGCCTGTACAGCGTGGTGTGGCTCCTCAGCCCCATCCTGGGATTCCTGCTGCAGCCCGTGGTGGGATCGGCCAGTGACTACTGCCGGGCCAGGTGGGGCCGGCGCAGACCCTACATCCTCACCCTGGGCGTCATGATGCTCCTGGGCATGGCTCTGTACCTCAACGGAGACACTGTAATATCAGGTCAGTGCGCTGCACAGGTGGGCAGGCAGGGAAAAGGGCCCTATTGGGAGTGTGCGAATTTTTCTACATGACGCTTAAACATTGGTGAGAACTGTTTCTCTCTCCTAGGTTACAATGAACTTCCAACTTTGAGTGACCCAAATTCTGTGGTTGAGGAGACTTTACTTTTAGAAACATCAGGGGGCATTGTTGTTGGGTTTTTGTTTTTTTTGTGTGTGAGGATTTAAAAATAAGATTAAATTTTTATCTATTTTATCAAATTAAATATTTTCACATATTTATTAGCTACCATGTTTTTTGAGCCCATTGCACCTTATTTAGTACTTTGTCAAATAACCAGCTAAAAATATTTGCAATAAATTACTTGTGTGCCCAAATAAAGGTTAATCCTCATCAGAACTTCATGTAGAGCCTCTTAATGGGTGCAGGGCACCTGTCTGTCAGCTCAAGGGGGCATTTTGGCAAATTCTGGACAAAACAGACCTGATGGTAAGCACTTTTTCTAGCCATTAATCAACCATCAATTAATCAGCAATTGCTGATAGCGGATAAAAAGTTGTACTGAAAAGAGGATCTTAAGGGTAAAAATGGCACACATTTTATGTCTTTAACTCTCAGGCTGTCAGAATGTGTGATAATGAGGCAGGATAATTAGTTATCATTTACATATATTTAAAAGAGGGCATAAATACACAAATGTAGGATAGTTCTGGAAGAATCACAAAAGACCCGCAAAGAGCCCTGGCCACTTTGGCTCAGTGGTTAGAGAGTAGGCCCGAGGACTGAAGGGTCCTGGGTTCAATTCCAGCCAAGGGCACGTACCTCAGTTGCAGGCTCAATCGCCAGCCCCGGTCAGGGAATGTGCGGGGGGCAACCAATCGATGTGTCTCTCTCACATCAATGTTTCTCTCTCTCTCTTTCTCTTTCTCTCTCTCTCCTTTCCACTCTCTCTGAGAAGCAATGGAAAAAATATCCTCGGGTGAGCATAAAACAAAACAAAAACCTATGAAGAATATTGCCTCCAGGGAGGGAGTGAGAAGTGGATAGGCTTGTTTTTCATTTATTTTCATACTATTATTTTTAAACACATGTGCATATATTACATAGTATTCTTCAAAAATTAACTGAAAGCAAGGAAAAATTGTTAAGATTCCGTGAATGAATTGTGGAATATCCATAAAATGAGTATTATTTATCTGTTAAAAATTGTGAAATTGCTCTTCATTAATTGAAATGCAAAGACAGGGAGAGAGTTGGTTATAAATGAGCATGTGCACATGATCCCATGAGTCAGTGCTTCTCAAAGCATGGTCCTCCAACCTGCAGCATCGCTGGGGCTCATGAGTTGCAAATTCCCAGTCTCTACCTTAAACCTACTGAGGAATCATGGGAGAATCATGGGAGAATCATGGAGAATCATGGGAGATGGAGCCCAACAATTCATGTTAACAAGTCATCCAAGCGATGGCTAAGCGTGCCAAAGTTTGAGAAGCGCTGCATTAAGGCACAGATGTACACTTTCCTCTATATGTGTATAAGCATGTAAAGGGAAGCATGAAGGATGACCATCACTGGTGGCTAGGATCTGACACATTTCTCCAGCTTTTCTATATTGTTGGATGGTTTATAATAAACATGCATAATTTTTTAAACCACTGTAAAGAGATATGATTCACATACCATAAATGTCACCATTTAAAAGTGTACAATGCAGTGCTTTTTAGTATATTTACAAGGTTGTGTAGCCATCACTCTATCTAATCCCCCAACATTTTCATTTCAAAAGGAAGCTCAGTAACCATTGGCAGTCACTTCCCACTCTCTCCTCCCCACCAGTAAAGGCAACCACTCATTCAGCTTTCTGTCTCTATAGATTTGCCTTTTCTAGACTTTTATTTGCATAATTTTAAAACCTGAAAAAAATAAGAAAGCTTTTATTTGGAAAACAAAAGAAAACAAAAGCAAAGGGAGATAATTTGATGGCAGGGTTTTGGTGGGAATAAAAATGCAAATCATTTCAAACGAAGATTTAGGTAACCAATGTTTATTTCTCTTTTAGCTTTGATTGCTGACCCAAGGAAGAAGCTGATTTGGGCCATAACCATCACCATGATGGGTGTGGTTCTCTTTGACTTTGCTGCTGACTTCATTGATGGGCCCATCAAAGCCTACTTATTTGATGTCTGCTCTCATCAGGACAAGGAGAGGGGTCTCCACTACCATGCCCTCTTCACAGGTAGGGAATATTCCAGAAAGTCTTTTCTTTGGCTCCCAGACAAAGAGGCCCTTCTGCAGAAGCCATCGGTTTCTCTGCACATTGAATTGTTTTGAATGAATGGATCAGTTGATAGAATGCTCCCATCACGCGGGCTCTGTCTCCCAATGTATTTCTCTAAACAAAGTCAGCTTGTGACCAGGCTTTGGAGTTCGGCAAAGGAAGTTTACATAAGAGCTTTCTGAAGACCATTTGTGGAGACATTTACAACCTAAATGAAAGGAGCCTTGTGCACTTTACTCTTTGATTTCTTTCTTTCTTTTTCTTTTTTAATCAGTAATGTAGCATCAGCATTACTTCAGAGCCTATTAAAAATGCAGTTTCCTGGGCCCCTCCTCCAGTTATTTTTATTCAGTGGGTTTGGGGTGGGGGCTCAGAAATTTGCATTTTTAATATGTACCCCAGATGATCCTGTGGCAAGTATCCCAAGAACCACATTTGAAAACAAAAATAGAAACAAACTAAGCAAATAAAAAACCCTTAGAGTTTTCTTAGTTATATTGAAGAGTTGGCATTTCCTCAGCCTTCTGGTTTGAAAGAAGCTGTGCCAGGAGGACAGGGGGCCTGTCCCCGGGGCTGTTGCTGGCCTCCTTTGGTTGCCGTTGGGCCGTTCATTTAGAGCGATGCTACTGATACTAAACATGCATTTGGAGAGCACCAGTTAGGACTGCTCTAGGACTGTGGGTCATGCATGAGGCTACAGCACCATCCTGGCCTGTGAGGATCTGTAAATGTAGCGGGGGAGACCCTATCAGTCTACCTTATTTGATTGTCTTCATAGCCCAGCCAATTTGTTCATTTCCTATTTTGATATGCTCTGGCTCCTCACAGGGCCAGGTAGGCCCCATGAGAAGCAGGATCTCGAGTTGTGTGGCTTATGTCACCATAGCCAAGAGCAGTGTCTCCACATGGAAGCCATTGGGTCAGTGTTTGTTTGAGCGAATGTTTGAATGGTGAACACTGGGGGAATGGGGCTGCCTAGGCCAGAGTGCAGCTCCTCTCTCTTTAGGGAAAGTGGAGGAGCAGGAGTCCTCCCTTGTCTGTCACTGGCCTGACCATCCTGTCTATAGCTAGAAGTTCTCAGAAGAGAGATTCAAGTTGCATTCTCCTAATTTACTGCTCTATCATAATATGTTGAAATTAATTTACAACAAAGTCATAGGAGACTTTTTGGCTTTTGAACATAACACATTGAGAGTTATATTGCTCTAAAGTACTTAGGGCAATGTGGCTACCACTTCTCAGCTTGGCCAGTATTTCGTCTTGGCCAAACAATCTCTGCTTTGCTGCCTCTGATATTAGAAGGTTGAACCTCTATATTTTGAATACTTCTTCAAGGCTAATACATGATAGTGTTTCTGTGAGTTTGAAAAATATTTGGAGGCTTTCTGCTGATATTAGCATAAGGTATAGTCTCAGCAAATATGTATAATTTTGATATTACCTTGGTTCAGGATCTTACTACATCTTATCTGATCTTTGTGTTTATCCCTTAACTGTTTTTCCAGTCTCTAACTTCTTCCTATTCCAGTTGAACCAATACATAGTTTCCAGACTCATATTCCTAAAAGACACATCTGACTTAGGCTCAGTGACGTGCTCAGTGACCTGAGGTGGCTTCCCATTTGCTTGCCACATAATCAGCAAATTACTAGGCAGGGTTCAAAACTCCCAGCAGTCTGTTCCCATCCTGCTCTTCAAGCTTTACTTCCCACTTCTCCCTCCACCTTCTCTGTGCTCTAGACACTGTCCTGATGCGTTTCTAGGGGCAAAGGCCAAGTCCATTTTACTTACTGTGTCCTCTGTACTCCTAGCACCACCTGGCGTGTCATAGGTGCTCAAAATAAATATTATTGGAACAAACGAAGGAGCTGACCCTTCCCTTTCCAGCTTTATCACATTGAAACTTCCTCCCCTCTTTTCTGCCTGGGGAAATCAAAGCTGTTTGGAAACTTTCACCCACTTCCTAGGGAGAAGGCTCCTCACTCTCTCCAAAATTTCGGGCAAACTCAGCCTCTGACCCACCAAATAAAGCACGAAAGTTTATCAAGTGGGCGAACATGAAGGTGTCAAGGAGGTGGATCACTCTCGCAGGAAGAGGTGGTGGAGGTAACAGTTTGCCGCATACATGCCCGAATTTCACCTCCCCTTGGGGCCCATGTGGTCTGTTCGGGCTGTTATAGCAGAATGCCAAGGACTAAGTGACTCAAACAACAGAGATTGTGTTCTCACAGCTCTGGAAGCCAGGGATCATGATCAAGGTGACTGCAGGATTGGTTTCCAGTGAGACCTCTCTTCTTGGCTAGCATTAAAAAAAATTTTTTTTAATGAAAAAGAAAAGTGAGGGTCTTTTTGGAGGAAGAGGGGCATGTCCTTGAATCAAGTTGGGGGTTTGTTAGTCAGGAGGAATGGGTAATTACTGTTGAATAGGCCAAAGTCAGTAGCTGTCACGTAGAATACAAACACAATTGAGTATTAGACTAATGAGAACAATTAGACCAAAACTATTGTGAGAAAGTGACAGCTAGAGCTTCCAAAGCCCCGTCTATTTATTAGTGAATGATTAGTAATTATATTTTAAAGTCATAGTTCTGTTCAGTTTTATCTGATTTGCACATTTATTATAGTACTGTTCATACTCTACTTGCATTATAATTCATTCTGTGTTTATCTACCTCTTCTACAAGATTTGTAAACTCCCCCATGAGCACTCACCTGCAAACTCCCCATGGCTTCTAACTCATTGCTTTGCTGATAGCCGGCCCTTAGAAATGTTAGCCTGCAAAAGTACACCATGGTTTCAAAACCCTGCTTGTATTCTATGCAAGTTTATATCAAGTTAAACCCTATGACAAATTGCATCAACCAGAAGCATATGCTCATTTAGTTACCTCGCATTGTCTCATGACAAACACTGAACTCTGTCTGAACCTTAGCCAACTGTCTCTGGTTATAGGGGGACCTCTGAGAGTGTGTGGATGGCTCAAAGCAAGTTTTTTCCCTATAAGAAAAAGCTTAAAACATCTTTCCTTATAAGACAGTGCAGTGAAGTCTCACCTCGTTTAAGGTTTAGATTCTAATGTCCCTGCCTAAGTGATAATCACAAGGAGTATACGTTATTGGTAACCATCTCTTATATCACCCATGAAAAACAGTATGCCTTGTTTTGTGTATACAGACCTGCATAGTGATGGATACATATAAATATGCCTGTTAATGTTTACTCCTGGACATGGGCTCAATGAATGGAATAGCGGACATGATCACCCGTGTTATTGAAAATGTTGTTTTGTCCTTCTTGTGCTGTCTCCCCCTTTTCAGAGTGTGAATTCTGTTGAGTTACATGTGGCTGTGTGACCCCACCATACAGGCCTTGCTCTGAATGGCAGGCCCCATTAAAAGATGAAGTGAAAATAACAAGCAGCACATTGTCACCCTGCCCTGCCTTGCGTACATGCCAGACCGCCTACATTTACATGACCTTGGTGAAGAGATGGCTGCAGCATTCTGCATGAAACATGCATGTTATGATAAAGGCATGTTCAGTAGGAGGGTCCATTTTGATTTTCACCAGCACTAAGATATCATTTACCCAAGGAATCCAGTCATCTGAGTAAATTGAAATTCTTTTTATTTATTTCAGAGCTGTAGTCCAGGCCTACCGATTCCAAATGCTTTGCAAATAAGTGTCAAAGAGTCCATTGCCAAAATATGTCCAAGCATACTTCTTTTTTTTTTCTTAAGAAAAGACTCTGGCTCCTGGGGGACATTTTGACCCTTCAGCTTCTTCTGTCTCTTCTGTTTAAAGGTAACTCTCCCTGCTTTCCATCCTTGGCATATGTGGTGGGCCAAAGTGGGCTTGGGGGTTCCACCCTTGTCCTCTCACCCCAGACTTCACCTCTGGGTGCATCTGAGACTGTGAAACCCACACTCACCAGTAGGACATTCCTCCTTTTGTCAAAATGCTTCTAATAAAGGACATTTCTGCCAAATTGGGCCCAAGGCCCTGCCACCCTTGGCAGTGGGCTCCATCCGGTAGTGGGAGGCAGGGATGAAGCCTAATGGAAAAGGCCATCAGGTTCAAATCCTGGCTCCTCCTCTTAACTGCTGATTGGCCTCAGTATATCCGAGCTTTTGTTTCCTTACAGGGTTGTGAATCTTTACACAATGTTAGTTATTAACATTTTGGCAAAGGGTCTCAGGCCTGGAACAAGGAGCCACTTAAAAGGATTCAATTTTAAATGTTAATATATATTTTGTTTCCTCCAAGCCCACCAGGCTTGCTAAAGTTTTATTTGTAATGATTCAGTGAGGAACTGGCCTCATAAACATCTTTGGAAGAAGAATGGTTAATTAGTGAGGCTCAGCCTCTCTTAACTTTCCTGTTGTTCAGTACTTTAGTGTATGTATGAGGTTGGCTCCAGTCTGAGTTTGACAATAGGGCTGGGCATCTAGACCCCTGTGGGTCCTTCTTTGTAAAGGCTGTTATCTATTGTGGCAGCAGATGTCCTTCGGATGCTCCAGCTGATGGTCTGGCTAGTGGCCGGATGATTGATTCCAGGCCCCCCAAGGAAGCTGATGTTGGCAGTAGAGATAAACACAGTCTCGATGTAGATATGGGAGTTGGGGTTAGCCTTTGTTGCAGCTAAAATGACAGGGCTTTGTACAGGAGACTATCTTTGAAGATAAAATCCTTAGTTTAAGCGTGGAAACAAAAAGGAAAGCTTTTAGTTAATCCCTACAACCACCTACTGGCTTTTTATCATATCTGGAGGTATGAAAAAAGCTTCAATATTTGGATAATTTTCCTGATCACCCACTATTTCTTCAGGGTATGTTCTGTTGGAACTTTTGGCTATACCCCATAGTAGCTTTGGGACAAACAAACAGTTTGCTTCTTTTGTCTTTCCACTCCATCCCCACCTACCCACTCTGGGCCCTAAGAGAACAGAGAATTGGAAATTCTAAGTTATTTGTAGCATGTGTCAAGGTTTTACTTAGCTGATTAATGACTGAACTGACAGGGAAGACATAAAGAACAGTCTTCCCAAGTTCTTGCATAGTGTATGTGTGTGTGTGTGTGATTAGCAAAAGAAAAAAGTGCTAGGTTAGGTTAGATTAGATCTGATTTACCTTCTACAAGGCAAGAAACCAATAACTCCTCTATAATTGTTTCAGGGTAATTTTTCTACCAGGCTATAAAAACATAATACAACCCGGCTGGGCATGGCTCAGCGGTTGAGCGTTGACCTAGGATCTAGGCGATCGGGGTTCAATTCCCGGTCAGGGCACATGCCTGGGTTGCGGGCTCTATCAATGACTCTCTCATCACTGATGTTTCTGTCTCTCTCTCTCCCTCTCCTTTCCTCTCCCTGAAATCAATAAAGATATATTAAAAAATAAATAAATAAAAATAAAAACATAATACAAATCATAGTACCCTATTAGTATCTGCAAATTAGCCTTAATTTTATAGGACAGCAGCACATCATTGTGCTTCATCAGTTGTGGATTGTTGGTCTAATGACCTATGACAACAAAGTCTCATTCCCCAAGAATGTCAGGTGAGAGTGGAGCAGGTTAATTGGAAACTGCCCTATCACCTGGCTACTCAGAGTGATATCTGGACTAGCAGCGTTGATGTCACAGGGAGCTTAAAATGCATGCAGACTCTCTGGTCCCACCCTAGATCTTCAGAATCAGAACCTGTGCTATAGATTGAATGTTTGTTTCTCCTCTCCCCTAAATCCATATATTGAAAATCTAATACCCAATGTGATGGTATTAAGAGGGAGACCAGATCATGAGGACTCATGAATAGAATTAGTGCCCTTACAAAAGAGGCACTAAAAGAGAAAGCTGCCTTGTCCCTTCTGCCAAGTGAGGTTACAGCGAAAAGACAGCTGTCCACGAGGAAACAGCCTCTCCACAGACACCAAATCTGCCAGTGTCTTGACCTTGGACTTGCCAGCCTCCAAAACTGTGGGAAGTAAATGTTGGTTGTTTATAAGCCACCAAACTCATGGTATTTTTATTATAGCAGCCGAATGGACTAAGACAACCTGCATGTTAACAAGACGTCCATATGATTCATGTGCACATTAAGGCTTAAGAAGCTCTGCCCTAGAACAATATTTTAAAAATCAGGCACTTAACAATTTTTATCTTTCTAGGTTTAAGATACAGATTTCTTCCATAATACTTGCCATGCGCCACACTAGGTCAGTGGTAAGCCCAGGTATCAGCCCTCAGAGTGAGCCCCCAGTTCTAACCACTGGGCCTAGAATGACTAAGTCCTTTCACCCACCTCCAGGCAAAAGGCCCCCTCGGTGCAATGCTGACAGTCCTGATTTTCAGTGGTCTAACCTACAAGTTTTTCACCTTACGATGGTGCGAATGCAATATCATTCAATAGAAACTGTACTTCAGATTTGGATTTTGCTCTTTTCCTGGGCAGGTGATATGTGGTAGATACCCTCTTGTGATTCTGGGGAGCAGCAATGAGCCACAGCTCCCAGTCAGCTACATGATCATGAGGGTAAACAACTGATACTCCACTGTGTTAGGTGATTTGTCCAACTGTTGGCTAATGTAAGTATTCTGAGCATGTTTGAGGTAGGCTAGGCTAAGCTATGATCATATCAACTTATTATGTTTTCAATTTATGGTGGTTTATTGGGACATAGCCCCACTGTAAGTCAAGGAGCATCTTTTGTCATTCTCTTTTGCTTCTGGGTAAGACTTTGGAGTTAAGGTTTCTGAAAGAAGTGAGCTGATCATTGGGTTTTGGTCCCGGTTCTGCCACTATATGCACTAAGTGCTTTACCTGTATTATCATGTTGACTCTCAGGAAGCTCATATGGGCAGGCATCACCATCCCCATTTCTCTGAGTAGGAGTGCCCAGCATCACATGATGAGAAAGCACACAGGTGGGAGCAGAGACCAGGCATAATTCCAAACCCCTTCTTTCATGCTGTCTCCCATCACTTAACCACTGTAACCTGTGGCTTTCTGATCTACTTCAACTTCCTGAGCTCCAGACATCCTCTAAAACCTTCAGATTCATTGATGTATTGAACTATTATGAACTTGATTGCTAATTAAGAGGAATCCTGTGATAATTATTAATAATTAACATCATCTTGCTACCATGAACTAATCACCAAAAGTAAATAAGCTCTTCAGAACTCCTCTATCCTCTGTAAGTACCCAGCTCCCCGTTATAAGTTATTATTTATTACAGTTTTTTGAAAGTAATTGTTTACTTATCTGCTTTTCCCACTTGGAATTGCCCTCTTGGAAGGAGGAGATGGGGACCTGTGTCTTATTTATGTTTATACCCCCAGAAACTAGTAGAGTCCTTTACATATACTTAGTGCTCAATAAATGTTTATTGAAGTACACTCAACCAGTAGACATAAAACTGGACTAGGGATTCCTCTAATTATAGAACTCAATTGATCTAATATAAATCCATCATTATATTTATATCTCTATATTTATATTCATAAACTAATCACCACTTCATTGAACAGTGGATTTGTTTTACATATCAATTCTTTCAAATGGGCAGGTGTCTTCTGTTTTGTATTTCCTCTGCTTAATAAATTTGAACAATAAATTTGAAGGAAAGAGGCATAAATAATAGAAAAGTAAGTGACAATATGACAATTATTGATCTGGTTGCAAATAAGAAATAGTTTGAACAAAAGGAATGTGTAAGTTTTTCATAGGGTTCATTAAGATCAGGGGTTCTCAACTGGGGGGTTGTTTTTCCCTGTAGGGGACATTAGACAATGTCTGGAGACATTTTTGGTTGTCATAACTGGTGGGGAGAGGCCAGAGATGCTGCTAAACACCCACAATGCACAGGACAGCCCTACACAGCAGAATTATCCAGCCCCAAATGTTAGTAGTGTGAACACTAAGAAACCTTGATGTAGATAGACTCTTGACTAGTGCTTTGCACTCAATACATCCTCGGTTGACTGCTTGGCTTATCACATGACCTCTGACACCCTGGGCTTACCCACAATTCCTTAAAGAGAGTCATTGTCCATTGTTGACCAAGAGGTGCCGCAAGTCCCAGAACTGCCCTCCGAATCAGCAACAGATTGTGGCTGCCTCAAGGGCCTCCCCTTCCTCTCACATCCCGGGCACACACGACCCACAATAGGTCACCGTATATGTCACTTATCTGTTTATGTATATGCCCACCAGCCACAACTAGACCATCAGAGAACGTATGTTTTACTTCATTGCACACCACNTATGTCACTTATCTGTTTATGTATATGCCCACCAGCCACAACTAGACCATATGTTCCTGTCAGCAGAGAACGTATGTTTTACTTCATTGCACACCATTGGCCACAATTTCCCATAATTCCACATTAATACACTTTGGTACTCAGAGCATGGTAATGATACTTTATTTTTGTAATTCAATGGTTAAACCATTGGTCATCTATAAATATCCTCTATGGCAAATTACAGCTAACCAGGCTGTGAAGTGACCAAACTCATCCATTCTCCCACCATTCTTTAATCTGTGCAAACTCGCATTACCTTAGAAAGCTTATTAATAGATAACTGATAATACAAACAATTATTTCTATTATTGTCAGAAATTGGTTTTCTTTGGGGCTCTTTAAAGCCAGGTATTTCCATTTTAAGCAGTGTAGAGAGTGTAGCTTGGAAAGGCCACAAGAATTCTGATAGTGGCAGTATTTACTAAGCACTTGCTATGTCTGGTACCATTTCCTAATTATGACTCTACTAGTAGGTTACTCTTTCATCATCACCCCCATACTCTGAGTGAGGAAGTCCAAGGTCACAGCAAGTACATGCTAGAGCCGAGCCTTGAACTCCCCCTTCCTGGCCGCAGGTGTCAGCCTCTCACTGTTACCTCTCCAGTCATAGCCAGGCCTCCTGCGGTCTGGTCCTCCGGGAGCTTTCCTACTGAAGGGAAGGGCCCTGCCCAGTGAAAAGGGAAGATGCTTTGCTAAAGATGCTAATACAGCGCTTCCTTGCTTTCTAGGTTTTGGAGGTGCCCTGGGTTACCTTTTGGGTGCCATCGACTGGTCCCATCTGAAACTGGGAAGAGTGCTGGGCACAGAATTCCAGATCATGTTCTTCTTCTCCGGCTTGGTCCTCACCCTGTGTCTTATTATTCATCTGTGCAGCATCCCCGAAGCCCCACTTAGAGATGTTGCAAAGGACATTCTCCCCCAGCAGGCCCCCCAGGACTCCTCACTGTCATCAGACAAGATGTACGAGTATGGGTCTATTGAGAAGGCCAAAAACGGCTGTGTAAACCCAGAGCTGGTTATGCAGGAAGGAAAACACAAAATTCCCGCTGAACAGGTAAAGATGCAAATTCTTTTTTCTTTCCTTGGGAAAAATGTTCTTACCCTTCTCATTTTTTTTATTCTTTGTTTTGTTTGTTTGTTTGACTCGAAGAGGTTTGTGAAGTGTAATTGACCCTCGGATCCCCAGTAGCTGCTATCCCTGAGAACTGATACTTTGTACCTCAAAGGAAAATGTTTGCATCTGTCTCTTCTCCCAACATCTAACCAGGGATGGTGAAACCTGCAGCAAAATGTGAGACATAAGAGGAGCCTGGACTATCCTCAGGCCACAGAAATATCTTCAGTTCTTAGATTAGGATTATAAACGTGTTTCTGCAAGTGACAGTGCCCCGGGGTTGCTAACTGCTTGGGCATGTTGAATTTGTGTTTCATGAGTCGATTAGATATTCCTTTTAGTCCATTCCTAGTGAACTGCTCAATTAATTAATTAGCTTAAAATTTTTAAAGAAAATGCTATTAAATGCCAGAGACATGGAACCAGGTTAAGATGAAATGGTCAAAGAGAAGAGACTAGAACTATGCTGACCAACAGAGTAGCTACTAGTCCCATGGTGCTATTTAAATTAAAATTCATTAAGATGAAATAAAATGAAAACTTCAGTTCCTTAGTTGCATTAGCCACATTTCAAATGCTCCAAAGCCCCACAGGGCCAGTAGCTGCTGTATAGGACACTGCAGATATAGGACATTTCCGTCATTGTAGCAAGTCCTGTATCCCCCCTTCAAGCTGAGTTTGAACACTGACCCCTCAGGGATAGAGAACAAAGGATTCCCTTACTGGCAAAGATGTTGTAGAAACCTTATTTTAAATTTTGGCTTCTCTAGCTGGTTGACCTGTGTTCTTCATTCAGAAAATAACTGTCAGGCACTTGCTGTAGGCAGCCTAATGATTGGGAGCATAGGTGTTCCAATCCTGCCTCTCCCCCCTCTGTCATGTGTGACCTTGGGCATTTACATTTATATAAAATGAGAAAGGAATTGTATCTACCTCCAAGGGTTTTGTGCAGATCATAGGAGATTATCCCCATAAAGCTCCTTAGAATGGTTCCTCCCACATAGTAAGGTATTAGGTGTAGGTGCTGTTATAAGCCTGGTAGAATGCAGAGTGCTCCGAGCACTGTGGAACAGACTTAATCTGTACTCTAACAGAATTTCCAAACAAGCTCAGTGAATCTCATTTCCTCCATGAGCTCAACTTCTCTTGCTGGGGCAAGAGCTTTGGAACAATCAAGTTAGGATTTCAGTTGGAGCCCCTGTGTGAGTTAGTGTATAGGAGACCCTAGTTAAGTTATACAAGATGTAAGTTCATTTCTCTCTCTTATAAAGGTTCAGATGGATGGATTGGGGCTACCCTACTGATTCCACAAGGTTACCTGGACCCTTCTGTTTTATTGCTTGCATTTGAACATGGAACTTTCATCTTGAGGTCCAAGATGGCTTCTCCAGTTATCATTAGTATATCTACATTTCTGCCGGCAAGAAGGAAGAAAGGGAAGGACATGATCCTTTCCTTTAAGGATACAACTCAAAAGTTGCAAACATCACGTCTGCTTACCTACTGTTGACCAGAACTTAGTCCCATGGCCACACTGAGCTGCAAGTAGAATGGAGACTATAGCCATGACTTGGAAGCCATGCACCTAACTGAAACTTCCACTACTCGTAAGAAAGGCAGAACAGGTATTGGGGCCAACTGTTAGTCTCTGACAACCCACTAGCTCCTAATGCCAGGAGCTGCATAACCTTGGTAAACTAACCTAGCTGAGCTCAGGGTTTTCATCTGTAAAGTGAAGATAATGATCTCTCCCTTACAGAGGATTTCTAAGAGTTAAATAAAATAAAGCAGGTGAAGATACCCAGCCCAGTGATTTACAAATACTTAAGTGCTATATGTCTGTTTCCTTTCTCTAAAGCATCACAGATTCAGAATTAAAACTAGGCAATTTTGGTACATTGGAGCAGACAGGATTTAGGGGGCATATTTTTAATAATTAAAAAGAATGAAAAAGTGAATTGACAGATATTTTCAAGTGGATGCAGTTTTATTGTCCTCATGCCTTCCCCTGTCTTGCTCTCTTTGAGAATCCGTGTTCGTTTCTGAAGACCCTGCATCACATGTCCCGGTCCCTTCCTAAGTCCAGGGTCTTCTCCTTCGGTCCCATGTGTTATGATGCTGAGTCTCCAGGTGGGGTTGTTTCACATGCTGTCTTGTTTGCTGACTTGTCTATGTCTTCCCCACCGGGTAGTGAAGGAACTCCCTGAGGACGGGGTGGCCTCGGTCCATCTTCCCTTTGTTTTTTCTTTTAAACTTATCTTTCAATTACAGTTGATATACAACATTATTATATTAGTCTCAGGGGTACTGCATAGTGATTAGACATTTCTATACTTCGGAAGTGGTCACCCTGATGTCAAGCACAGCACAGAAAATAGCCATTTAATCATTCTTGACATTTACCCCAGAGCCTGGCACATAGGGAACTGGCATCAAACGTTCTGTTAGTTGTTTGTTGAATGAATGCAGCAGGAATGGTCATCTGAAATACGGATCTTGCTGGATTTGTTTGGATGAATAATGAGAAATTAATCAGAATTGGTCAAATTGTGTACACAGATCATTCATTTCTTCAGCAGTTATTAACGAGAGTCTGCCCCAGCTGAGCATCAGGACAGACCCTGTCCCTGCCTCAGAGTTGTCACCTAGAATAGTGTGACCACATGTTGTCTTACCTTCTTAATAAATGTATAATTTTGAATAATTTTAAACTTACAAAAAAGTGGCAGAGAGATCCTGTCTACCCTTCACCAGCTTCTCCCTAATGTTAACATCTTACATAACCATGGTACATTTGTCAAAACTAGGATGTGAACATTGGTACAACACTATTAAATAGAGAGCAGGCGTTTCTATTTCATTGGTTTTCCATTAATGTTCTTTTTCTGTTCCAGAAACCAATCTAGGACACCACATTGCTTTTAGCTAAGTGATTTATAATGTTTGAAAGCTGTGTTTTCTTTCAGTAGTATTTCAAGGAGATAAATTTGCTACCTGTAGTCAGTAGAAAACCTCATTTCCATTTCTCCAATGACATATATGGATAAAAGTGTTAAGTCTTAGCAGCTAGTTATAAAAGTCTGTGTATAGTTTTCTCAAGGGTAAGTGCTTTCTTCTATTAGTTGGCTTAGTATTTTCCCAAAATTAGTACAAAAGTAAACTTCAACATTGCTTGGGCTTGAATTGGCAAATTTCTTACTTCTGTAAGGTCTTACGAAGGAGACCTTGCATCTGAACACAGCTGTGTTGGAGTTAAGTGTATCAACCTGCCTCTGCTGTGCCTCCCATATAAGGGAAGACAATGGAAGGGACTAATCTGTTCACCCCATCGTGCCAATAGCTCCTATTTTAGCATGAGTATAGTGTTTTCCATAATAGGAAGAACACAGGGAGGAAATAAAAGGCTATTGGGATGAATCCTTCATTTTTATCTTCATCACACAGCAAATAGAGAAAATATGAGAGTCTAGGTCCCTTGAGACCTGGCTAGACCGCCTTTCCCCACCCCAGGCTGCCTTGAGAGCATGGACACTCCCTGCCCATTCTTTGCTAACAGGTCAGGTGTCTGAGATTACTAGTTAGACTGGAGTCCCGCTGTTGGGTAGTTCTGTAAGGCAAAACGGGAATCATGGGATATCCATGCAGTGGAACCCATGCGATCATCAACAGATGGGTGTGTTTTTGAACACTTCATATATCAAACAACACAGACACACACACACAATGATCTCCATTTTGAGAAAAGCTACACACATGCAGAGAAAAAACTAGAAAGGATATATACCCAAAATGTTAATTGAAATTATTTTCTCTGGGTGATGGACTAACAGGTGGTTTTAATTTTCTTTTATAAGCCCTTCAGTAGATTCAACATTTCTATAATGGACAAGTATTACTTTGAAAGTAAAGGAAAAATGTCACAGTTTAAGGAACAAAACAAGGCAGGGTTTTGCTAAAGATAAGTAGATATTACCCGATAGATTATCACTGCCTCTTTGCCCCATGGATTGGCTGTGACTCAGTAGAGGATATTGTGAGGATCACATGAAACAAATGGGTGAGAGCCTTCTGAAAGGCATGAAACCCTCCACACTAGTAAGTAAAGAAATGCATCAAACACGATTAACTTTCTAGTATGTGCCACATATATAACACCATAGGCTCAGATTGGTTCTGTTATTTGCTTTAAAGAACAAAATAAATACAAAACGAAAACAGAGCAATGTATCTTAAGCTCAAAGCCAAGCATCTGACTCTTCTATTGCAAATGTGCATCTTGGGAGCCTCCAGCTAAGCAATGGGAGTCTACAACATGTCAGGGCTGGAACCTGGCTGTCATTGTTTGTCCAAGTCATTGGGTCCCAAAATGAGGGTGGCTGTGCAATTTGTGAACTGGGATTTTTTTTTTTTTAATGATGAAAGGCCTGAATTTTTTCAGAATTCAAACCCTGGCATTCACCTGCAATTCTTCCATGCCATCATTACCCCCCTTCTGTATCGCAGTAGTCTCCTTTTGAGTGTACTCTTGTGAGGTTCTCTTTCCCCGCTGATGGCTCTGTGCATTTTCCACTTATGAGCCCATCACCACCCAATCTCCAGTGAACAAAGGACATTAATTCCCAGGGGCTCAGAACCACTGAAAGGACTTTTCCAAGGGAACTGATGAGTCAGAGAACAAGAGGCCAGCTGAATTTTCCTTCTGAGTTAAAACGTAAAGGAGTTTTGAATATTTATATTCCCATCTTTTGCAGAAATATTAGACACAGTTTGAAAGCTCATATTTATTTTTGGAAGAAAGGAAATATTAGGTTAACAATGAAAGCAGGCTGAAAATTATGCATAAGGCAGAAGCATAAATTAATATCTGGAATGAGGCTGAATACTTGTTGGCCAGATTCACTTTTTAAAATTTGGCTTTTTGGGAAGACAGGAAGGAAACTGAAGATAAATCAGTCTGAGGCATAGCAATCAGGTGGTTGTGTCTCAGTCTGCTTTTTCCTGTGGTCAAGGGAAAGGTAGTAATTCAGCATTGAGTTTCTGTTGTGCTCACCATTTATTTTGACAGGTACCATATTTCACATTTGGAAAGCAGTTATTTTTCCTAACTCCAAGGGAATGTCTATACTTTTAAATACTAATTAAATATAAGCAAATCGGTTTAGTCATGTCAGTAGATTAAATACTATAAAATTGTTTAATTTAAAAAATCAATTTATACAACAATCCTATCTTGAGTAAATACAATTTTCTGTAACAAGGAACTAAAAAGCATTCTCATATAAGGTCAAGAGCTATAAACACAATATGCTGTTAGAGTTAAGATAGAAAATCTCAGGAGACTATCTTGTAAGTAAACTAGCCAAGATCCAATTTCATTATGTCAAGATTCAGAATAAATAAAAGTCTGACAAGAAAGACCCATAACCCCAGAATGATTGATGTTTACAGTCTGTGTCTTCAGGGCAGATGACTGCTTAGTATTCCTGAGATGTGAAAGGCTGTTTCAGTCTTTGTATTTCAAAACAGCTGTGTCAATAGTTCAAAATTTTTTATTCTCTCAAGGCTGTTGATGCCAAAATATTGGAACCTCAGGTTTTTACAGAATTTTCGTCTAAATTAAAGAATTTGGGGTATTATGTATTTATTATACGTGTGTGTGTGTGTGTGTGTGTGTGTGTGTTCTACAGTGTTCTCACTTCTGACTCAACATAGGGTTCATTTGAATGTGTTGGCTGATGGTGGGATCCATGGAAATAAACTGGAAGGAGGTACTTGGCTAAGAGCAGGGAGCCAGCTGGTTCTCTATATTGGTTTTCTATTGCTACAAATTACCACAGATTTAACAGCTTAAAACCACACCAATTTATTATCTCACAGTCCTGTAGGTTAGAAGTTTGGGTGGGCTCAACAGGATTCTCTGCTCAGGGCCTCACAAGGCTGAAATAAAGTGTCATTGGAGCTGTGTTCTCATCCTAGAGGCTCAATTGGGGAAGAATAGGTTTCTGAGCTCGTTCAGGTAGAATCCAGTTCCTTGTGGCTGTAGGACTGATGTCCCTGTTTTCTTGCTGAGTGTTGGCTAGGAGTCACTCTGATCTACTAGAGGCCACTCTCAGATTCTTTCCACATGACTCACTTTACCTTCAAAACTAGCAATTTTCGTGCTTTTAAATCCTCTGACTTCCCATTCTGCTCCCAGCTGGGAAAAACTCTCTGCTTTTTAAAGGGCTCATGTGATTTAGTTAGGTTCACCCAGATAATCTCCCTTTTGATGAACCCAAAGTCAACTGATTCAGCTGATTAGTAACCTTAATTATATCTACAAAATCTCTTTGGCATCTAACAATACATAATCATGAAGCAACACCAGGACATAGAAATTATGGGCCTCCTGGAATTCATTCTACCACATTTTCAGAGTCAAGAAATCTGAGAATTATAATGATCTGTGAACTTTGTCCTCATGCAGTTGTTCTGTCATTCAAAGATAGGATGTTAGATGTCTCTTGCATCTTAGCCCAAAGCAAGATGCATTTCCAATCCCCTTGGGTCCCCAAAGCCTCATTCTGGGCCTAAAACTGCTAAGCATCTGTACATACTTAACATAACATCTCCTAGAGACCACTCAATGGAAACTTTAGTGCCATGCCCAGAACGTATGGCCCCTGTGTGGTGGTCTATTGACGGATATGTAACATGGCTGTATGCTCTGACTCCCACAGCTGGCTGTGTGTCTGCACTGAAGGTCACACCTGTTTCATATTTATTCCAGATTCAGAGGACAATGACCATGAAGTCACTGCTGAGGGCACTGGTGAATATGCCTCCCCACTACCGCTGCCTTTGCGTCAGCCACCTCATTGGATGGACCGCCTTTCTCTCCAACATGCTGTTTTTCACAGATTTCATGGGCCGGGTAATGAACATGTTTGAACAAGTCATTCATTGACTTGCACGTGAATCTTGCAGTCAGTGCCTCTGGACCTTCTTCTATGCTAGCCTCTAGGATAGGCACATAAGAGTGTAGGAAAGAGCACCTTTAAGGAGCTGGCTTACAGACAGGTTCTAGAGGAAGGTTACTACACCCTAGACAACTGGAGGATACTATGAGACCAGTACTTGATCAAATACAACAAATAGGGAAAAATCAGTGTGAGCTATAACAGTCATGGCAGGCTTAATAAAGGAGGTGTAGTATGATCTGGGCCTTGAAGGGTGAGTAGGAGTTGGAGAAAGGAGAGGGAGAAAATACTCTCAGCAGGAATAGGAATGGCACTTGTGTAGATGAATCAGAAGCCTATTAGCTGTACCAGAAATGGGCGGCAGGGTAGCCTAAGTTGGGTGGGGCCGATGTTAGGTGGAAGGAGGAGTGTTAATGATCCAGAGAGCTGTTGTTTAGACTTGATGCAGTAGCATTAGGACCTCCTAAATGTCGTTGAGTAGAGATGTGAAAGAATGAAGCAAGTGAGGTGATCATGGGAGGATGAGCTCTGAGCCTAGGAAGGGGCCCTTGGGCAAGGCCATGTTGCTCCCCGGGGATGGAGGAACAGAGCGTATGAGAAGGGGTCCCTACCACCCTGCATGTGCAGCTCAATAGCCCCAAATCTCTCTTTCAGATTGTGTACCATGGGAATCCCTACAGTGCACACAACTCCACAGAGTTTCTCATCTACGAAAGAGGGGTCGAGGTTGGATGTTGGGGCTTGTGCATCAATGCCATGTTTTCCTCACTCTATTCTTGTAAGTCTCCTCCTCCTAAGGGTGTCTTCTAAAGGGCCCTGGTCTAGCAGAATGTTGGATTTTATATCTCTATATTTAGTTTTTGCTTTATAAAATATACAGATTCTTGATAAATACATGGAGGTCAGGGAAAATTATGCCTTTACATGGACCACATGGAGTATTCTTTTCCATTGTGAATTTTAGCTGTCATTTTCCTCACTGATTACTTTATCTGTATAATCAGTGTGTTCCTGATTAAGGTCCTCTAGAAAATAAAAAGGAAATCTTGTAAACAAGATGGTGAAGTGTTGGATGGACCAGGGATGGAGTCCCAGCACAAGCCTGTGTGCTCCTAGAGTGAGATCACTGGTGGAGTTTCACAGATATGCTTATCAGATTTGTAGATGATACAAAATAGAATGGGTGGGTCATATGCTAGGTGACAAAATGAACATGTAAAATGCCCTCAGCTCAGACGGGCAGGGTGGTATGTTACAGGAGCACTGTTCCAGATTGAAGACAATGGCTTTCTTCTCAGGGCCCAGCTTCCCGTGGGGTCTGGAGCCTATTAACCACCCCCCACTTAGCTAAATTTTAGCTGTGAGGATACTGTAAACAAAGGGATTTCTGCAATTGGTTTTAAATAAGTCTAAATAGATGTACTCCAACTCTAGGGCATCACACAGGCTCATTTTGTGCTAGCTGATGCTCTGAGCTCTATATATTGAATTAAGTGAAAACTCTGGTATATAAAAATGCATGCAGGGCTCCCATTTGGAATGGAAATTTGGGAGCTCCTCTAGCATCGTGGGGAGAATAGCTTGCCCCCTATGTGGAGCTCTAGGCTTTGGACAGGCCCTGGGGATGGCAGGGGGTAGGGGCACTGCTCAGGTGGGGGAGGGTTGGTGAAGGGGGCGGCAGTCCCTGTTACCATTCTCAGGGGCATCATTCTGTCACTGAAGTATGCTTCTTGTGCTTTTTGTCAGGGAGCAGGGTGAGCATACTAATGTTTACTAGCCTCGGCACAGCAGGAGAGCTGCTTGGAGGTCAAGAACCTCTCTTCAAAATGCAGCCCAGTTGAGAAAAGGGGACCTAACATAAGCATATAAGGAATTAATTCCATGAGCCTAGTAATCATTAAACCATAGAGTTCATTATTTTTAAATGTTTTATAACCAATGGTGGTGGCTTAAAGCTTATATTTCCTTAGCACACTCCTTCTTCCCCTCAGAGTATGTGAACTAAGAGAATTCTAGGAGGAAGAGTTTAAGTACTTAAAATGGAACCAGGAAGCATTAGATACAGGGTCTAATAATCCATCTCTATCCCCGCGTGCTTTCAAGAGGTGGGTATTCATTACTCCCTCATTCTTGTAAGTGGAACACATTCTCCACAAGTAATCACCATTTTAATTGTCAATTTTAACTTGTTTTTTCCCTAAAGAATTCCTACTAGGTACCATTAGTCTAGTTTGAGTTCCTGTATGAATTTCATGGCATTTAAAAATTTAAAAGCATATTATTTTTAGGCCCTTTCTATTTAAAAGCCCTGTGTACAAAATAAACTATTACTTGAATAGTTTGCCAAATTTATACGGACTATATTAAATATTATGTATAAATCTATAAGATTCCTATCATTGTGAATTAGAACTAAAATTTTATATATAAAATACCAACCTACCCTAGGCAGAATCCATCATTTCCTTCAGTTCCAGAGCACACAAATAACCCTTTATTTTGGGTTCATCATATAACATCAAATGCAAATCTAGAAATTCTAGCAGGATGGAGCTTGGCAGGGCAATCTGCCTGCTGCAGTGGGGCCTGGGGTATGCTGATAAGTGGCTTGTTTTCAAGCATTCTTAGATTAATGAGAATAGCAGCAGTGATTACCAAAATATAGCCAATTGTTCATATCATACACTACTGTTCATAGCTGCTGCTTAAACTCATCGATAACCTCCAGTCCTCACTAAAGGCGCAGTGAGGCTCTGACCATGACTGGGTGTTAGACCCAGCGGAGAGCAAGGCCCTCACATTTATTGATTCCTCCTCGTGAATAAAGCATTTTGTGCCAGACTTAAGTCTTTGTACTGACATTGCTCATGTTTCCAAATATCTCTTTATTCTTCTTGGACTTCTCCTTGGCTGGGCTATATGCTTGGAGGAAGAGCATTTCCCTGATGAATATTGATAGTATCTTTAGGTACTGAGGCACCTTAGGTTACATTTTCTGCATAAATATAATCTTCAAGCAGACAGTAACAGACCTAGCTTTCGACTGCTCTCATTCTCAGCCTGGACAACGGCCCTGCAGGGATGGTGTGAATTCCTCAGAGAAAGCAGTTCACATGCTTATTGTTTTTAGAGCCCTGTCTTCCATGGGTGACCTGCAACCATGTTCAGTTTCATAACTGATGCAAATGTAATGCAGATCAGGTTTCTTGTCTATGCGATGTAAGTCCAATAATTATTTGGTTAGATATGGAAAACCTCACTCTTGAGTAAGCTTATTTTAAGTATCTCTTATTTATCCCCTGGGTTCATGAATTCCATTACAGTGGGACAGGGGAAAGGAATGTATGGATTCAAAACAACTGATTGGAAAAGGAAGATAAACGTTTTTAGGGATTTTCCATGGTGGGAAACAATGTAAAACATTTTAAAGCAGAATTTTCAATTTTTAAAAATGAAATCTACCACAATACCGTCATAAGTAAGCCAAGTTTAAGTAAACTTCCTGGGAGGGAACCCAGGAGTCAACCAGCTTCAGCCCAGCCCGTGTTTGCTGAAATAGCCACCCTCAACTGATGTCTTCTACATGCTTGGCATTGGTCTGGGTGATTTCACAGACATCTTATCTCATTTGATGCTGACAACAACCCCAAAGAAGGGTTTTATTAGGCCCATTTTTTAGATGAGGAAGCTGAGGTTTTGAGAAGTTAAGGAAGTTGTCCACAGAAAGTGAGGGAGCCAGCGATGGAAAGAAGCTGGGGCGGTGGGAGCCCCTCACCAGCCTGGGAAGGGTTGGCAAGTCAGGCAGGTGTCTGCAGATAATGCACATCTTTTACTTCCTTCTCAGGTGTGCAGATGGCGTTCAAGTGAGGGGGAAACGTGGCGAAAAAACTGAATGACTTGGATCATTCTGTAAAATCTGGTGGTTTTAATTTCCTTCAACCTAATTTTGGGCCATGGGGCCAAGCGAGGCATGGGTTGTCATTTAGGTCCTGTTAGGCTAGACCCCTGTGAATTAGAATGACCCCCACTTATCTTCCATGTCCTGCAGCCCTAGGGTCCAGATCCAAGACCAGCTTTGCAGCACCTCCTCTGCATCCTGTTGCTGTTCAGCTGTCTGCTAGAGTGCCTGGACCTGCCCTGTGGGAAAGAAAGCGAACCTAGCAAGCAATTTCTAGCTCTCCTTTATTCAAGGGTTTAAAACTGATTTCAACAGCGAGCTGTTTTCAAGCACAGATGAGGAGGTTCTTTTGTTCGTGACTCAGTATCAAAAGAAAGCTCCTCAAAAAAGTGAATCTTCAAAAGAAGGGATTGTTTGGAATTATTAGTGTTGTGAGGCACTGCTTGCTATAATTTCTCCCTCTTCCTCCCACAGACTTCCAGAAAGCCCTGGTGTCCTACGTTGGATTAAAGGGTCTTTACTTCATGGGGTATTTGCTGTTCGGCCTGGGGACAGGTCTTATCGGGATCTTCCCGAATGTCTACTCCACCCTGGCGCTATGCGCCTCGTTTGGCGTGATGTCCAGCACCCTGTACACCGTGCCCTTTAACCTCATGGCCGAGTACCACCGCGAGGAGCAGGAGGAGCAGGTACGTCCCGTACCTCTGCGCTGGGTGACTCTGGACTCACCTGAAGGCTGGGGGATTTGGTAGGAAAGTGTAGGGCAGAGCTGGGAAATAAAGATTCTTGAAACAGCAGCACTAACATACCCAGCCAGATGGAATGATGGTCTGGTCAAGCCATGACCACCTGCCCAGCCCACCCCTCCTCCTCCTTGCTCTGAAGCCCCGTGTACCTGGGAGCGGTAGGGCAGGTATCGTTACTCCCACCTGTCAGGTGAGGAAAAGGGGGCTTTTGGTCATGCTGAGAAATCAGCCCACAGTCACGCAGAGACAAGGCAAGGGGAACCTGGAGTTTCTGACAACCGCCTCACGTGTCTAGTGTACCTGTGGCATTTCTGGATCCCCAACCACTGCAGGAGTCCATGGAAGGGTTCCTGGGGATTATTGGTTGAGGGTAGGACATTCCTAGGCAGCAGTTTCCTTGGAGGTCCAGAAGTTGGTGAGTCAGACCCTGTGTGCATGGAGGAGAGCTGGTTGCAGGAGGTCACCCCATCAGCTGCCTTGAGGGAGGCCTGCCCCATCTCCACCTTGGAGCTCAAAGCTTGAGGTCAAGGCCCTAAACCACCCTAAAAGAACAGCAGGTTGGGTATTTCTGCTCTAAGATTATCACATCTTATAAAAATATGCAACTTGTTCCCCATGAAAGTAGGAACAGTTTCCTACGAGCAGTGATGTAAAAGCTAAAGAGATAACTTGGAGTTGAATCCATCACAGCCTGAAACCTCAGAAACGCTGAACGCATGCCCATGTAACCACAGCACTAGCCGTCTTTTCCATTATTTGACCTGTCAAACGCCGCAGCAGGCAGAGTTGCACCCAGAGTTAAAACCTTTCAAACCAGAGTTATAGCTGTCCTTGTCCCCTGGCAAACATCACCACCAGTGTTTCAGTGTATGCAGGGGTTTTGCTGATAAAGAGACAGCTGTCACAAAAGACTGTCCCTCCAAAGAGAGAGTTCGATGGTACTAGGGCAGAAACACATAAGCTTCATACTCAGAGAAACCTGGATCAAATCCTGCCTCCCCCGCTTGGCAGCTGGGTGACACTGGGGATGTTATTAGTTGATTTATTAAATATTACTCAAAGTCAGATCACAGAGGCTATATATTCACATAGTTCAGCAATCACAGGGATACACGGAAGGTGCGCTGGGAAGCAACTCCCACCCACCTACCCCTCCCTCTGCTCTTTTCCTACCTCCCCTGACCCCTACATGTAACCACACTTAGGTTTTTGTTTATATTTCCAGTTTTTAAAAAATGAAAATTAAGCAATATGAACCTATCTTCTTACTCTTCCTTTATATTCAAAGGATAAGATGCATTTTTTGACACAATGTTTTATTTTCTTACTTAATAGTATAGGAATTATCATTCAAACTCTCAGAGCCTAAGTTTTCTAATCAACCAAATGGGAATAATATACCCATCTTTTAGGGTTGTTAGAAAATTAAATTAAATAAGATAGTGTATGTAATTTGCCTAGCATACTGCCTAACTAGCACCTGCAAAGACTCAAAAAGTGGTAGTTGTTATTATTATTATTATTATTATTATCATGGGGATGTTGCATCTAGGGAGGTGGGGAGTATGAAATGAAGTAACATTACCTTACACAATGCCTAGTGCATAAAAGACACCCAATAAATGGCAAATTATCAAACAATTCAGACCAAATATAAAATATTAATCAAATATTAATCAAGTATTTGTACTTGATTAATGTACTAACCAAATATCAACCATCTTTGGAAAGGTTGAATTCCTTTTTTATGTTTTTTCTCTTATATATGTCTATGATACATCCTTCTAAAAAAGTTTGAATTTGTAACACTAATGAAGGAAAGAATGGGGTAATTTATTGAGTTTTTACTACATTGTATTTACTGACTTTTTAGGAAGAGACAATTTTACATATATTAACCAGTGAACCTCCATAGATGGTAATGGTGGAAGTTAAGACTTTCTGACAGCTAGGGAGAACAGCCTTAAGTAAGAGAGTGGAGGTTCTTGGTTACCTTAATCAGGGTGTTGGCAAACTATGTCTCCTTGACAAAATGTGGCTGGCCACCTGCTTTTGTACAGGTGGTGAGCAAAGAATTCTTTCAAAAATTGTAAATGACTTAAAAGAAAATCAATAGAGAGATGATACTCTGTGACAAGTGAAAATAACATGAAATTCAAATACCAATGCCCATAAAGTTATACTGGAAAAACACCAATGTCCCTAAAATTATACTGGAATAAATACCATTGCCTATAAAGTTATACTGGAACAAATACCAATGTCCATAAAGTTATACTGGAATAAATACCAATGTCCCTAAAATTATACTGGAATAAATACCATTGCCCATAAAGTTATACTGGAACAAACACCAATGTCCATAAGGTTATACTGGAACAAACACCAGTGTCCATAAAGTTATACTGAAACGCCAACTTGTTTACGTATTGTAGCTGCTCTTGTACCACAAAAGCAGAGGGCTGAGTAGTTGCAACCAAGCCAGAAGTATTTACCATCTGGGTCTTTACAGAAAGGTTGCCAACTTCTGCCCTGGACAGTTCTGTGTAGAACAAACGCTGTTCCCGTGTTTCCCTTGCAGAAGCAGCAGGCCCGGGCCGGGGGCCCAGACAGCAGCGGAAGAGGGCAGGGCCTGGACTGCGCCACCCTCACCTGCATGGTACAGCTGGCTCAGATTCTGGTCGGAGGGGGCCTGGGCTTTCTGGTCAACATGGCTGGGAGCGTCGTCGTCGTCGTGATCACGGCCTCTCTGGCAGCACTGATTGGCTGTTGCTTCGTGGCTTTCTTTGTTAGATATGTGGATTAGATCAATAAAGAGACTTTGTCCCTAACCTCAGACACAGTGGAGCACATGGCAGAAAACCAGTCTTGTCTTCTGCTCTGCAGCTTTGGGGTCCACCCGTTGTTTACTCGGTATCAGGACTTCTACTGCAGTCATCTGCTCGCCGCTCACTTTACCCAGCCCACTGGACAGCAGCCCCCATATTTCAGGCATCGTCATCTCAGGAGAGACTGGGCTACGCCTCCATTCACTGGTGGCGAAGGGTAAGTGCAGGAGAGGGCACCCACATGCACCTTTCTCACTGTGTGTCAGCTCAGGGTGGGAGAGGCAGGCTATGTTTCCACAGGGCATTTCAGGTCTTGATGAAACCTGAGAAGCAGACTAATTCTACACACGACTCCTGGGTTTATTCTATGATGTGGTGTGTTTTTCTTAACCAGGGGTCCTATATAGTCAGGGGCTCATATTTTATCTAATTCACCAGTACTCAAAATATTGCTGGTGATTTTTTATGACATTAACTTATTAATATTTAATTCATATTAAACTTGCTCATAGTTCATTCATGTTAGTTTTTGACATCCCTGGCCAGCCTCCTTGAGCAGGTCGTGCCCGAGGATTTACCACCTCAAAGCAGCTCATTTCACAGACACAGTGAAAATATTTCTCTCTAGTCTGCACCTTTGTGCCATCTTCTGGGGACCATGTGAAAGCTTTTGGCAAAACAACCTTCCATCTCCAAGTGGCACAGTGTTTCTCCAGCCATACCCCTCCCCTCCACTGCTTCTCACACAACCAGGTTTTTAGTAGCCTTGAGAGGCAGCATGGTTGAGTAGACAGACCAGGGGCTTTAGATCTGGGCTGGTGAATCCTGGCTTTGCTGCTCATCAAACTACTTACTGAACATCCCCAAGGCACATTTGCTCATCTATACATTTGGGGTGACATTCCTACCTTGGAGAGTTGTGACCATTAATATGTAACACCGAGTGCTTACCACTCTTCTAAATGCTCTACCTGAGCTAATGTAGCAGTCTTGGGAGTGGATGCTGTTGCTGACCTCCAGTTCACAGATGAGGAAACTGAGTCAGAGAGGCATTATGTAACTAATCTGAAGCTACACAACTCGTAAGTCGCCGAGCTGGGCTTTGACCTCAGGCACTCAGGATCTGTTTTCTATAAGAGCAGCATTTAGCCGGGAAGCTGGCAATTGGTCTCACTCGATAAATGATAGCTATTGTCACTACTTTTAAAGGCTCCCATCCTGTTCCCCAATGCCTAGATCTGCCCCAGTCCTTCATAGTGTTTGTCTACACAACTCCAGATGTGCCTGAGCAGGGCAGAATGGGGACTGGCGCACATGCTTTTACAAGTTAAAAGATGAACCTGGTTCCTCTTCCTTGCCTCATCTTAGAGTCTAGTACTGTAGTCATTGCCTCAGATGAATTTCTAATTTACCAAAACCTCGAGTGCTGGAGGGATTTGGCAAAAGGAAATGAGCTGCTTTGGAGAACAGAGACACTGGGATTTGCACTGTTGCTTGTGTTTACCTTGTGTGTGGCAGGATGGATGGGCTCAGCGTGGCCAGGCCCCAGCAGTATCAGCTCCTTTAGGGGAGTGATGTTGAAAAGAGGAAGAGTGCTCTGGTTGGTTTTTGGAAGGCTCTGGGCTCTTTCACACCACTGCAGGGCCCAGAGCAAGGCCTACTAATGAAGGCCCTGGGTCCATGGCCCACCCCGCTCCTCGCACCCTTAGCTCTGTCCAGCACTGAGAGCCCTGTGTGCACTTTGGCATCAGCACATCCATAGCTTCCCAACCCTCCACACCTGCAAACAGCCACCCTCAGCCACCCTTCACACATAACGGTGGTGTGGTCCACCCTCTGGCGGGTGGACTAGAAACGGACCCGTGAAGGCCTTGTAGATAGACTCAAGGCCCTTTAGATGGGGAATTCTGAGTCCCAGGTACTAGAGCATGATTGAGAATGCAGGCGGGGCCCAGGCTCCCGATGGTCATGTGGATTCCTTGCCATGTGGGAGGGGTACTAGTGGGAGGGGAGGGCAGAGCAGAGTCCTCTAGTAATCAAACCCCAGGGCAGGGGCCCTGGCTGCCCAGGTCGAAGGGCAGTGCTGACGATTACCAGCCTAAGAGGGCAGGCAGAGAGCAGATCCATTGTCGCTCTGCTGCAGCCTCTCTCTCCTTCCCAGTTTCTCCAGTGGTCTCAAACGCGACCCCCTGCGTCACACCTGTTCTGCTCTTGCTACTGCGTGGGCTCAGGGCAGCTGCTGCGATCTTCTTGATTGCCTCCTTTCCTTTCTAAGAGCCCGCTCTCTGCTGCTGCTGGGTCATAGTACCTGTCACAGGGCAGTGCTGGGGGTGGGCATCTGGAGCACCCCTGTGATCTGACCACTGCTAGTTTGTGTGGGTTGGAGGACGGGGCTTACACCAAAGTGGACACTCCTTCCTGCCCACTGCTCACACTTGCCACCTGCAGGCCACACAGCTTCCTCAGCTGGCACGGGGCACTCAGGCTCCTGCATTTTATCCCATTTTCTCCATATCCCCAATTCTCTACAGGCTGAGGGGGGCTGTCTTCTCAAACCTGCGTGTGCTATTATTTCACTTAACCTCTGAGCCTTTCTCACCTCCTCTCCACATGATGCTTCTCATTTCTGCCACCCAACCAGGTCCCCCTGCATTCCGGTGGTATATTCATTCCCAAATGAAGTCACCTCATTCTTTTGGGCAGTCACAGGTCAAAGTACTCCACTTTCCCCAGTCTGCCTTCCTCCCTCTCCCGCTCAATCATCCCACTTAGAGAAGCAAGGTCATGACTGACTTAGAGGAGCATTAGGGGCGAACACCTGCTCCCAACCCCATAGGGTGGGGTGATGGGCAGACGCTCAGAGGGCCCCACGTGACACAGCACTGAGTATTACGAAAGAAACAGTGACAAGCCACCTTGCTTTGCCTACCTGACCTTGGCCTCTGCAAGGTTTGGAAACGGAATCATTTTCTGAGTTCAATGTGTATTTCCTGATCCGTTCTCCATGGACTCCTCTGGTGTTTGAAGATTTTGAAGTAAATGATTGGGCCAGCTGGAAGGGTTCTCATAGCCAAGGGCCATCTTACCTGGACCCCCAGGAAGTCAGAAGTAGTCATCTCTGGCCAACCACAGGGCATGGGCTTTATTACAAGTGAAACTTTTTAGATGAAACATGGGAAAGGCTGCTGGGATGAGGTGGGGAGATAGGGCATTCTCTCTCTCTCATACACCCTTAAATATTCAAAGGCCCCATTTCCAGTAGCTTTTCACGTTGCTCCTGGGCACAGTGTCTCCAGGCACCCAAAGGGCTCTCAGGAGAGCGGGGCAGGCAGGCTTCCTACACCTGGTGGCTCACTCCTGCTGTTTCCAAGCCAGCACCGAGCTCCTTTATTCCTTCAGGGGCAGTAGCCTCAGGAGGTGTCTCTCCAGCCCCTCCCGCCACACAGCCTCCACGAAGCCTCCACTCCCCAGGGAGTGGCTCCTACTCGCTGGGTACAAGTGTCTCACCGCAAGACATTTGAGCGCAGAGGTCGGTGGGGGAGCCGCGGTCGGGCTCCCCGCGTGCCCACCGCCCTGGGCGGGGTGATAAATGCTACAGTGGCCCCAGGGGAGCGTCCCTTTTTCTCGGGGCTTTTCTCCTGGGGGCGGAGGTTGTCACTCCTTTCTCCCAACTCGGAAAAAGTTTCTTGCCCCCAAACTCTAGGCTGCGGGCGCAGCCGCGCCAATCGGAGCCTGGCGCCGGCGGCCTCCGGGCGGGGAGGAGAGGTTCTGCCGCGGCCCCGGCTGGCTGCCCGGAGGACCCTCAGCGGCCTAGAGAAGCCGCTGGGCTAAGTGCGCCCAGCTGTCCGTGCTCCGTTCGGCTGCGCCCCACTTCTTCGCGCCCTAACCTCTCCCGGTTCCTGATG